CTAAGAAGTCATTTGGAAGCGCGGTGAGAAGAGATTAGCTATGTTCAGTTTCAAAATGACTCTCCAATGTGGAAATTAAGAGCCACTTTCCACTATGCAATCAAACGAAGCTTAAAACTGCTAATCATACTGCTTCACATCATTGCTTATGGAAGTGTCTCGTTCCCAAGTCTAGTATAGATGGAGAAGCATAAGTGCTTTACCATGTGAATAAGATTTGTCAGTGCAACTTCCTTACTCCTTCTATTCCCTCGATGCCAAGAATCTATGTCATCTTTTTTTTGAGTGCCTGAGAGCCGTGTTAAGGTAAAACATAATCTTAGATTCCATAAGGCCTAGGATATTTTGCTTTCTTATAATTGTTTTGGCCATTTAGTAAGAATATTTTCAACTCTAGGAAAGAATTTCCATCAAACAAGGAAAACCCATTCATGCTAGCCGAATTTTTTGACCAAAATGGCAACATGGAAGCTCTATGAAATGGAAATTGCATTGCTAAACGAGGTGTGAGGGATTGATACAGACTAGAGAACTCGACCAAAATTGCATAAAGTTCGCTCCAAAAACAAGTTAGGTTGGTAGTGGAAACACTATAGCATAATATATATGTATAAAATATACCGCTAGTTAAATTGAATTCAGATATGATAATTTATATATTTGTATTATATTCAAATCGTATCAAATATATGTAAAATATAAAAAATTATCTTATTAAATTCGTCTTGATATTCTAAAAACAAAATTTTTTTTTTCAATTTATATCAAATTATATACAATTTTTATTAAAATTTTAAATTATATTATTTTTATATTGTAATTTCGCATGATCTTTAAAATTATCTTGTCTGATTAAATTTGTAGACTTAGAGAAAATTCTGATTCAATGTTTGAAAAGACATTGAGAGAGGTAAATTGCTGCTCCAAACCAACCAAGCTAGTACCTAGACTCTTGCTCAAAGGATGCTTGTAATAGTTGGTCTGTCTTTTTCTGATACCAAGAAATCAAAGCTGGAGCCAACTGGTTTGAGCTTTGTTCTTTGTTTCAATTTTGTGTTTATGCCCTTGTACTTCATTTTACCATATATTTTGGAGTGTTACTCACATGCATTCCAAAGATGTTTTTTTTATTTCTATCTTTAGCAATTTGGCTTGAATCTAGAAAAAGAACTAGAAGTGACACTATGACTATGAGAGATTGAGAGTATAGCCCTTTAAAGGTGAAAGAACAAGTGAAGTGTAGACCCTGGCCTTTGCCTGATGCTTCAAGTGGAGCTGTCTTCCAACCAATTTTCCAAGAGAATGTAAAAGCACCCATTTTCTCTGTTGTTTCCAACTTTTCTTTGAAGGATTATAACCTCATCCACCCACAATAAAATTAAAAATCTCAAGAAACGACTTTATAATTTACATCTTAAGTACGGCCGAATTACATGAATCGATTAAACTAAACACAAATTCACCTTAAAATAATTTTAACACTTGACATTTACAAAAACAAGCAAGATACAAACTAATTTTGAAAAAGGGTAAGATACAAACTCTTCATGAGCATGGATCATGGAAGGTTGGGCCACATGGAGGAATATGAAAACCTTGGATACCTAACTAATAAGTTTGAACCTAAATTTGTTTGATTCTGATCTATTATGCTTATATAGATAGCAACTATATATGCTTTTATATAGGTAACAAACATGGCCATATAGGCTAAGAAAGATGTTTGGCAAATTAGCATGTATCTGTAACTTATTTATTTCTGATTATTATTACCTTACAAACATACAAATATTAATGAAGTAAAAAAAAATGTTTTCATAGTTACATTCCTTTTAACTTAGAAGCTTGCCTAGATTAAAACTTGTTTCATTAGGATAATTTTTCTTGCTTTAAAAGGGCAATCCCCAAATTATTTTTTTTATCCAAGTATTTTAATCAATGAGAAATATATGTATATCTTAGCTCAAACTCAAAGAATAGGGTTATAAACCCAATAAAAAAATTTTTTTCTTTATTTTTATGTATGCACTAATTTTGCTACTCTCCCATCCTATTTCCTCTGTCTCACAAAAAAAAAAAAAACCCTTCCATTTCTTTTTTCTTTTCTCCATGCATACACTAATGTCACACTCTTAATTTTCTATTATTCTTAAATAGTCCTTTTCAAAAAAACATAATTTATTTTTATTATGTACATTTATCAATGCTAAAACCCCCCAACTTGAGGAAAATCTTTTGTTCTCTTTTTCCTTTTTTTCCAATAATAAAAAAACTTTTATTTTTCTTTTTATAAAGAAACTCGCAACTTAAAAGGAATTAAGAAAGAAAAATTGCAAGTATTGGAAATCGAACTTTAACCTTACAAAAAATTTTAGTTTTATTTAGAAAAAAAATACTCCTTATTCTAATTAATACCATTTCTTATTTTGAAATGTTGAAAAGCTATTCCACACGGATCTATAGATGGGGGAAAGTGAGCCAAAAAGAGCATAAAAACACAAGCTTTAGGTGATCAAGGAAACTTTGGAATTTGGCAGTCCCTTTCTAAAGCATTGGTAAACCGTTATATACTTAAATTAAAACCTCCTTTCCCTACCATTTTATGGTAAATTTTAACCTTCCTTCTTTTGGGTACATCTTGCCCCTCTTTAAACTTTTGAATAAAACAGAGACATAAGCATTTTTTTTTTTATAACATCATCTTTTAACACACCTAAAGGTTAAAATTAGATATGATGATTTGTGTATTTGACTCATAAAAAATATTAAAATTCGTGTATTCGTATAATATTTTATATAAAAATTATGTGTCATAATTCGTATATCAACATGAAAATATAAAATATATTTTTTATTTTGTTAAACTTAGACATAATTATTATTAAAATTTTAAGTTGTATCACTTTCATATTTTATATTTGTATCGTGTTCACGATGTGTTATCATATCGTGTTCATATTATATTATTATATCATATTTTAAATTATCAAATCTAGTTAAATGTGGAATTTTTTATATTATGAGAACTTTTTTTTAAAGTGGTCAATTTCAAAATCATCTAAAGAAACAAAAATACTCTGCCTAATTGTGAAAATTAAGTTTTGGTAAGGACTAGGCATAGATATTAATGCACAAGCTATCCAATGTTGAAGGGCTAATTGGAAAAAGGTGACATTAACTTCATTTCTATCCTTTATCCTCAATTTCCAAATTAACATCATTTTCTCTAGTTCTAGAGTTATTCCAATGCCATATTCCAAGGTACTTGATCCACTCAACTATTGTCATGTATACATCATTCAGACTCAAGAAAAATGATTAAAGAAAAACAAAAATTTAACACAAAATCTGCTGAATGTGTGATTGTTCTTGTCAAGAAAACAATAAAAAACAAATTAAATGGTTTACATTCGATTGCTTCTGATTTGGTGACTATGGAATCATGTGTTAGTTGGAACATTAATACTAATATACTATATATTAATGTAGATAATAATGGTCAATTGATTGTATAGATAATAATAGTTGATTGATTGTATTGGTTATAAATGGCTTGCACCAAAATTTTACTTCTTTGGATAAAAAAAAATAGCTTATCCAAAAAAAAATAAGCATAAAATCTTAAGTGTAAACCCTTATTCACTATTTTTTTGGGGTACATACAAGAAAATGTTACCTATAAAAATTATATTGTAAATTCGAAATTAGCAATATAAAAAAGTATGTACAAATTAGTAGCTATTTTAAAGAAAGCAAATTAATTGGTGTATGTTGGTGTTGAGTTTCGAGTTGTTGATCGAAAATTTTGAAATCACAATAGAGAAAAAGAGCGGGTACGAGTAAACGCAAGGAAAAATTTTTATGTTTACACTCTTACGCTCAAATCAAATTAATTATAAGAGATCGAAAGGAAAGCGAAAAGTAAAGAGAGTAAGAGAAAGGAGATGATGTAGATGGTATTTGGATGATTTTATTTATAAGGATTTGTGAGATAAAATAATGATATAATTTAGTTGATGTGATATTGTATATATCAAGTGGACTTAACTAGATGTGTAATTGATCAAGTTAAAGTTGATATAGTATTAAACTTGAGTTCGACTCCAAATTCGAAACTCGAAATTTAACTTAAATTCGATCGAGTTTTATTTTTTTAATTCGAGCTCAACTCGAAATAGAAATCGAATTATTCGAACTCGTTCGATTATGTTTGATTAACATATAAAAATAAGCTTGATTCTTATATTTGATAAAAATTCGATTATTTATGCTCAAGTTCGAATTTGAATTAGAGAATTTTATCAATTAAAATATATTAAAATATAAAAATTAGATTAAGTTTGTTAATTACTCGAGTAGGATATAAGAATGTTCGAATTCGGTTCGATCGATAAGTTAAGCTATTCGAATTCGAGTTTGACTCGATAATAAACAAATCGAATTCGAGTTTTATTCGAATTAAATTCTAGTAACTTACGAGTATTAATATATCATTTATACTTCTAAACATGACATTTAAAAGTTAAAAATATTTTGATTATTTATGATAATTTCTAATAAAAAAAAAAGACCAATTTACTTTTTAAACCCAAATATATCCTTAACAGTGTCCAAATATTTTTTTATCGGTCCATGTAGTTTTTTTTTTTTTAATTTCAAGCAAAATTTGCCTAATATAAAGGGGCTTAGGGTGCGTTTGACGTGATAGGACGATGCAATGGAAGTTCTTCTCGCCGCGCTGTACGTATATACCTTGTAATTTTCATTTATGAGTGAACCAAAGCCACATGATGATTAGAGTTTTGAGGTTTCCCACGACTTGTTTATATAGTGTAGTGTTGAATTTACAAAACAAGCGGGTAATTAGGGGAAACTTGTTTGATTCCCAAAGAAACAGCGAAAGAATGGGGTAAAGGCTTGGTCAACTCAATTTCAGCTTGGCCAAAAGAAAAAAAAAACTCTATCCTTTTGGTCAGAACTTACTGCCATGTCAACCAACTTAGCCACGTGTCATATATTCCAATTGTCATCATCTTGAAATGCCATGTTGGCAGTGAATAAAAACCCTTGGCTCATCGCAATTGTCGTGTTGACGCAGAAGAGAGTTCCAGGTTGGCTAAACCACTTTCGGACATAACCCCAAAAACTCCTCCAACTCCCCTCTATATATACATATATAACCAACTTTTGACACCCCATACCTTCCATTTTCTTTGCCAACGTTTTATCTTCCAAGAAAAAAACTAGTTTTTGTAACTGAAAAAACCAAACAAAACATTCTTTTTTCTTGTTTCTTTTCTTACATCTTATAAATCTTTGTTCTCTTGTTTCAAATGGATTTGTTTGTTTCATACACTTTAGTCTTATTACATTTTAAGCTTAATTAGGGCTGTCATAGAGTAGCTAATATAATTTCTTTGACATTTGTCCCAATACTTCAACGAAGCTTTAATCAGGTTCATTGAAAAAGGAAGAAGAAAACCATGTTGGAAGACATGATTCATCCACCGGAACAGCAGCTTCCCATTGTAATTCTCTCCTAATTCTTGAATGTGATTGTTTTTTTGATAATTTTCAAGTGATTGGTTGTGTTTTGTTTGAAGTGTAATTCTTATACAAAATTATATACCAACTTGGAACAAAGATTCTTTTCGTTGATGGGTTGGTTTTCGTTTTTATTATTACAAGGTTTTACGTGAGTTTGTGTCTAATCCTTTCATAGGATGTTTGACAGATTTACATTATCTTTGTTCTTTGTTGCTTTCTCCCTAATGTTTTTTTTTATTTCATGTCATTTTCGGCTCAATCATTTTCATGCCTCTCCTTTATTTCCTTCTTCAGCTTTCATTTGTATTACTTTATGTGAAATATTGCAAGCTAGGCTTTGCTTCATTTCAACCAAAAAACGAAAATTTCTTCAGGAGATTAATTCAATCTTGATTCTTGAATATATAACAAAGCATTTCCCATTTCAACTGTCATTTTCTTAGGGACAGCACCATCTTTCCAGTCTAATCCTTTTTTTTTACTGATTGTTGTTTCAACTTTTCTTTTGATCACTATGGAATAAGTAACTTTTCGTGCTTCTTGTTGAAGCCTTTCTAATTGTGATTCTCTCTTTTTCTTTTTATTTTCTCTTGATTTACATAGAGTGAAAGACCCCAAAAGAGAGCACTTCACAATTCACATGGAAAACATAAATGGGGCTCTTGGTAGTTTTTTTTTTCTATTCCAATTGTTTGTTTACAGTTGGACTCTTTCTCTATAAACTGAACAAAAATAACATGGCATTAACTTCTTTCCTTGTCAAATGCTTGTGATTTTTTGCAAACACTGGGGGTTATGGGGGGAGGGGGGGGGGATTTTTAGTTCATACATGTCACATGGAGCACAGATACACAAACATCATTTTCTTCTTTATACGAAATATCCACTCTCAGTTTATCCTCCTAATGAGAAAGAACTTACATGTTTCTGATCAAATATGGAAACCAGATTGCTGCCTAGCAACCACACCCATGAACTTGGTTTATGTCCATTATGATCACTCCATCAAATTCCCCTTCATGTATCCAGAGAAAGAGAGAGTTCTATTCTGACCAAAGGTGATACACAAAAAAATATAAAATAAAATATGTTCATTGAAAAATGTAGTTGAGCAACAGGAAGCTCTAAGTAGATTGATGACCCGAGTGCTTAAATTCAGGTTCTTTAAGTAACAGTTTCTTTTTCAAACTTTGTTGATCGCTAAATAGAATTAGATTCAAAGTTCAAACCTCATCAGATGAAAATATGAAGAATTATGACGCTTGTATGCCTAAAGAAAAGGTTGTTGAGGTTTGCATGTGTTGCAGTATGATTTTACTAGTTGAAGTAATTTTTCTTTTGTGATCTATCTAAACATGGTTTTTCATGTTTTTGCAGGATGATATACCAAGCCCGATTAGTGGTCCAATTTTTTATTTTTCTTATACTGATCTTTTCTCAGACGCCCTGCAAAACTCTGAGGTTGCTTCCTCGAATTGTTGCTATGATGAGAACTCTTCATATGGCAATAATCTTACCATACCACCAGACATTGAAACACTACATGGCTACAAAGATAACAATGGAAATACTAACTCAGCCACCCCCACTGCCACCAGTGCTACCACCAACGCCACCACAACCGCCATAGCTGCCACTAACAATAACAATAGCAATCTGTCCATAATCTTTGATTCTCCAGATGAGATTGACAATGACATTTCTGCTTCTATAGACTTTTCTCAATCCCCTTCTTTTTCTGTCCCTCCATTTCTAACTCAACAAGACCAATTTGACCTATCTTTAGTGCAATCTCAAATCCAATTAGCTGATGTTGCAGCTGATGGGTTCTCTCAGTACACTGCTGACCCTGTTGCCCATCTTATGGGGCCGCCGTTACCATCTGTTTTTGATGAAGATTGCTTGTCTTCGGTGCCTTCTTATGTACCTTTAAATCCTTCATCTCCTTCTTGCTCTTTTCTTGGTCCTGCCATGACTACTTTCATGCCTGCTGGGGCCATGACTGCTGCATTATCTGCTGATACTACTGGGATTTTCGCTGGAAGCATTCTTATGGGCTCTGAACTGCAACCACAAGACCTGGAATATCAGGGTGATAATGCTGGAATTTTCTGTCCAGATTCAGTGCAACGAGTTTTTAACCCTGGAGATTTACAGGTGCTTGTTTAGTTTTCAACATTTGATAAATTGGAGTAGTCCATTAGGATTGTAGAACTTTCTGAACTAGATTTTGTCCTTAATTTTTCACTCAACAATTTCTCTCTAATCTGAAAATAAAAAATTTGCCCTGAGAATGATTAACTACAGGTTGAAAATATTATTAATAGAAGGCCCTTACGAATCGTTTTCCATACATGAAACTTGGCATTGAAGGTAACTGCAAAACATTGAATTTTAGAACCATTTATGGAGGCTTCTGGTCCCCCATCCTGACTGACCCTGCATAAATTCCTTATGATTTTAGACTAAACCAAAGTGTATCATGAACTTTCTTTGAGCTTTCATCCAAACATGTCACCCCAAAAAGAGGAAGGGACATGATCTAACTATTGCATTTAGTATTAAAAAGCAACTACAGTTCATTTAACTTTGCAATCTTCTTTCTGATTGTTCCAAAAGGCCCTCAGCAGTGACAGTTTACAACTGGTGGGAGCAGCAGCCAGCTCTACTCCTTTAGCATCAGAGATCTCAAGTTTGGAAGATTCAACTTTCAACAAAGTTGGAAAACTTTCTGTTGAACAAAGGAAGGAGAAAATCCATAGGTACATGAAGAAAAGGAATGAAAGGAACTTCAGCAAGAAAATCAAGGTCACTTTTCTCTCTCCCACTCATATCAACATTTTATATGCAATGCATGTCCAACATGTAGCAATTTGGATAATTAAAGTACTAATGTTACAATCAAATTTGCAGTATGCCTGCCGCAAGACATTAGCCGATAGCCGACCTCGAGTTAGAGGAAGATTTGCAAAGAATGATGATTTTGGAGAGACCCCTAGGCAAGCTTGTAGCAATCATGAAGAAGATGATGATGATGAAGTAAGATCATTTTTTCTTTTCTTTATAAAATTCCAAGTTTTCTTTCTGATGTGTATTGATACTTTTGCTTTCATTTCCCAACAGGTTGTTGTGAAAGAAGAGGAAGACATGGTTGATTCCTCAGATATTTTTGCTCACATTAGTGGTGTCAACTCCTTCAAATGCAATTACCCAAGCCAGTCCTGGATTTGAATATAGTTTCATTAACAACAAGTCTACCACAATTTTGCAGACCCCTGTTTCAGACAGGATTTCTCCACCTGAGTTTGATCTAAAAAAAAAAACAACAAAAAGGAAAAAGAAGAATAATCGAATCCTATGGTATGCAAATAATCAAGTCAGGATACTATAGACAGTGAATAAAACTGTAATTTTTGTAGATATGTATATCACCCTCCCTGTATCTTCAATGTCTATGATCAGCACAATTGACAATCCTATGGCATCCGGCATCCCCAACTTGCCAGAAATCACTGGTTGAAGAAATTACATCATGTTAGATTGTGAGTTGAAACAAATGCTCTTATTGTGGAATGCTTGACTCATGTAGTACAAATTAATTTCTTCAAAGTTAAAAAAATTGGATGTTGCTAGTTGATTACCTTTAGATCATTTCATATTCACATTTATGTAGTCAAATCCACCTTTTTTTTGTGCGTTCTTTTTGGTGGCCAAATGGCAATGCATTTTTTTTTTCTTTTTGGGCACATTCTTACTGGGAAATTGGTATTATAATTTTTCCTATGACTAGTGGGCTTCATCAAAGCTTGCTTCGGCTTACAACTGCCCATGCTTGAATCAAAACCCAAATCTTGATCGTAGGGGCGGTTCTTTAGCTAAACCAGAGGGGGCCTCCAAGATTTTGAAAATTTTTCTCTATATACGCATATTTATATATTATATATATTAAATAAATTTAAATTGGCCCTCCAAATTAAAGTATTAAAATATATTATAATTTATACTGATTATATTAGATTAGTTGACATGTCATTAGAGTTGACATTTTGAAATTACGGGTTTGAGTCAGCTTAGGTGCATAATATTCTCTTCAGTCAGGTATGTAATTTGGTAGAGAATTTAAAAGTAGATTAAGAATTTAAAAAATATATATATATATTAAAGTTTATCTATTTATTTTATCCATCAATTATTATTCACAAACATTTAATGTTAATTAGTTTTTCCCAAATATTAAATTATAAATATATAAATTAAAAAAACTTAATTTAATTTTTAAAATTTTAATTTATACTTTTAATTGAGTAAAAAATAAATAAATTTAGACTTTCTTCTTTGACCTATTTATTATAATTTCTTTTTTATTTTAAAAAGTTTATTAAACCCCCTTTGTTTTTGTTTGCTGTTTAAATTTTCGGCCTTTTAAAAGTATATATAATAAATTTGTTAAAAGTTAGTTTATTAGTTTATTTTTATTTTTATATAATCTATTTGTGTCTGTATTTTAGCTCTATATGATAATTTTTTTTCTTGATATTTTGTTAATGCTATATATATATAACAATGATTGTCTTATATATATATATATATATATATATATATTTACAATGACTCGATAAATTTTAAAACAACCACAGATTAGGCAACAACCAACATGACATGTTATTAAATTAAAAAAAAAATTGATTTGATAGGGTCTGATTTTTTCTCAGATAAAAATAATTTTGGATAGGTAAGTAAAAATGATTTTTACTTGATGGATTGATTTATGATATAATTGAGTTTTCAGTTTTGAGTGATCAAATAAAATTTCAAGTTAAATCATATTAACTTTTAAAGTGAAGTATCTAATTGGGTTTTATCATATTTGATTAAAAATATGATATTAATAAATGATTTATTTATGTAAATTTTTTTAATGTTAAATTATAAAATGAATTAATGAAAAAATTTAGTTTAGATAACTTGATTGTCAATATCGAAAAAAAAAAAAATTGTTGAAACATTTAGTTTATATTCAATTCTTAAAGATTTTATTTCTCTAAAAGAACGTCATTCATAAATTTAGATAAAATTATTTATTTGATATATTTTGTTTCCTTATATTTTTATTTATAAATTAATAAAATTTATAATTTTATAAGTTTATGATTTTTTATTAGTATATTACTTGCATATATGTCTTATATTAGTAAAATAACATAAGTAAAATGAAATATATATCATATTAGACTTTTAGTCGACCCTTCAAAATTAAATGTGAAGATTCATCATTGCGAGTTGTTCAACAAATGCTTGGCATATCAAGAAATTTTATGTTTTTCCCAAACCTCTTCAACAACATTTTTGGATTTCGAAAAAAAATTACGTAATTTTTTTCGAGCATTTAATTCAATGATTCGTATATATAGTCTCTTACTCAAAGAGAAGAATTCGAATATTTCTTCTTCTAAATTGAAAATATAAAAAATGAAAATGTATATCATGATATAAAATTACTAAATTTGTTCTCCCTCAAGGTAATTTATGTGCTCTAGTTCAAAAGTTTAACAAATACTAACATCTACCAAAAAAAAAAAAAAGTTGACTTTTAGTAATGGTCCACAGTTATCTATATCTTCAAATACAAACTTATTATGATGTTAGTTTAGATTTCCAATCACCCCCCTCTTGCTATATATTGCCATTGAGATTTTGAGTGGAGTTGGTACATATATACCATTAAACAATTGTTCTCCATCATGATTATTAGGGTTTTAATTATTTGTAATTAGCATAATCATATAAATTACGAAATTCCCCCTAACTAAAAGTTGCTAATCATGATAATTTACTTGGATTATCAATGAATGATGATTTTTAATTGGGTCATGATTAGGGATGTAAATGATACATTAGTACTCGTAAGTTACTCGGGTTTGATTCGAAAAAAACTCGAATTCGGTTCGATTATTATTGAGTCGAGCTCGAGTGACTCGACTTATCGATCGAATCGAATTCAAGTATTCTTATATCCGATTAGAGTAACTCGCGAGCCTAATCGAACTTTTATATTTAAATATATTTTTATTATTTTAATTAATAAAATATTTCGAGTCCGAATTCGAGCATAAATAATCGAACTTTTATCAAGTATACGAATCGAGCTTATTTTTACATATTAATCGAGCTTAATTGAATGAGCTCGAGTAGCTGAAATTCGATCACGAATCGAGCTCGAACTAAGTATCGAACTCCGAGTTATGAGTCGAGCTCGAGCTCGAACTTCTTACTATTCGACTCGATTCGATTCGATTACATCTCTAATCATGATCAAACCGCACGTTTCGTAAGCACTTGAATGCAATAATAATTAGATTCATTGTTTGACAAAAATGAACTTTACGAATTTTTTTAAATTCGTAATCTTTAATAGTTTGATCAACATGTATCACATCTAGGTTAATACTAAGTGAATATATTTCGGAATATAAACTATGATCAACAAGACAACAAAAATGGTATTCATTTTTTTCAATAAGGTTGTTGGTTTAAAACTATAGATTCATTTGATTGAGTCAATAATTGTCTAATTTATGATCTTGTTGGACCCACTTCTTTCTTAAAATTTTGAATATTCAAAATGCCGGGAATTTGGGAGAATAGACTACTAATGGAATCGAAGTATGCACGCTAGTAAATAATCGTGGCTTTTTTGCCAGCCGAAAGTGTACTCAATATAGACAAAATGGAAAATCAAATCTTGTAAGTTAAAAAAAAATGATTTATCGAGAAATTTAGATGAACAATGAAATTAAAAATAATAATAAAAATTATTGTAATTACGATTGAAAAATTTTTTTTTAAAAAATTTATATTGAATAACTCTCACTAAAATTAATATTTAAATTTAATTGTACCTCACCGAGATGCAATTGCATCCAAACATAGGCTTCTTGTTTCTATTTGAACATTTTATGTCTTGTAAGTTACGTTAAAAGGAAAAAAAATTACATTTAGGTGTAATTATGTAAATAATGAAAAAATACTACTTCCTCTATCACAAATTTATTGTTTTTTATTAAATTAATTCAAATTTGATCATTAATTTTAATAAAATTATAAAATTAAATTTTTTTAAAAAAATAAGAATTGCAAATTTTAAATTTCAAAAATTCAAAGCTTATTTTTTTATAACTTTTTAATTCAATACAATATCTCAAGAAAATGAAAGTTAAAATTGAGTTAATTTGATCAAGAAAATTAATAAAGGACAATTATTTGGGAAGGAAGAGGAAGTATGAAAATTTCTATTTCTCACATCAAATCAAAGCAAAATGAAATTTTAAGTGATACTTTCACTTTCATATTGAATGAATTGATTTAAGAGAGCCATGAAAATTAGATGGGAAGCATAGGCTGAAATTACATTGATGCAATGAATGGATACAAGAATAGTTTGCAAAGGTAGTTGTGTGGTGTGGTAGTTAAAGATCTAATCAAAATGCAATTTTTTTTTAGCCTTTCTCTATCACATTTGATGCCAATAAAGACCAAAATTCCCTACATATAATCACATGAAAAAAAGGGTCAAATAATATTAGACTTAATCAAATAATGGGATTTTGAAATTTTCTTCTTTCAACATGAGAAGAAAAAATTTGGATGTGCCAATAGGATGATTTTAGTTGTCCATGTCAGATGGCACCTAACTCCAAATTAGTGGAGGTACTATTTTACACAAAATGCATGTTCTATGGCCCATAATTGCACTCACAAGAATCTTGGCATAGAAACCATCAACCAATTCCTTATTGCATCTCACTTATAATGGATACATTTAAATACATGAAAGGGAAAAAAATAAAAACTCAAAAAGTTGGTTTGTTTTTTAAATTTGTATGTCTTAAGAAAATCCTAAAGTTTAAATTATTTATTTGGAAAACGATGAAACAATACCATTAAAAAAATCGATAATCATTAAATTAAATATTCGAATAAAAAAATGAGTATATTTTAAGTTAACTTAATAGTAATATAATGATTTTTTTATATTGATGATGTTAGTTATTGAAATTTAGTTATTTGAACTAATAACACAATATTCTATTAATAAATCACATTATGCTTTGCTAATAATATAATGAAATTTTAATGAAATAATTTACTTACAATTTTCTAAGGTTATTATAGTTGAATTATAAATTACATTTGAGTGATTAAATTGTAATTTTTTTTGCATAAAGAAGACTATAGCTTAGAAATAAGAGAACGAGATTCAAATTTTAAATTTATTAAATATTATATTTTAAAAATATTATATAAATTAATTGAATTTAAATTCGAATTTAAATTATGATTTGTATTACTTCTTTGTGTTTCTAAATCCTAAGTAAAAATTAAAAAAAAAAAAAAAGAATAGTTAGGATTTGTTATTCCGGGAGTAACCGGACTATACATTGAAGTATTGTAACATACACATGTTTCATTTATTTTTCTTTTACTTTTTAAATTAACCTTGTTGATTTACTTTCCTTAATTTGGTCAGAAAAGGAGATTTACTTTCCTTTTACTTCCAACAACAATTAAAGGAAGAAAGTAAAGCTTCGTTTGGATGGGCATGTAAATTTATCTCATTGTATCATCATATTATTTTTAAACTAAATTTTTAAAAATTCAATCATAAAACAATACGACGACGGAGTGAAATCATTTTCACACACTGATAAAATAAAGCATAATAACCTAAGCTTATGGAATATTCTACTCCATACAGTTTGAGATAAGCAAAAGATGAACCCAAAATAAAATAAAATTTTAAAATTAGGGTTCATCGAATGATATTACAAGATATATATTGAATTCTAATAATTTTAAGTAGATATAATAATATAATATAAAAATAATATAATTTAAAATTTTAATAAAAATTATAAATAAATTTAATAAAAAATTATATTTTTATAACTATATAAATTATGATATAAAATATAATATAAATATATAAATTATTAATATTTTATATGATATATAAATATAAATGATCGTATCTTTTAACTATGTACATCAACATTATCAAAATTGACAGTTGAGTTTAGCTGTTTTTTAGAGTTTAAATTTACATCCTTACCGGATACTGAGCGATGATGAATTGGAAATAACATTAAATTAATATAAGATCTGCGATGTAATAAATTAGATGAAGGAAAAAGAGAATATGAGCAGTGTAATAAATGAAATCATAGTAAAAGAGAATAATAAACAACAGTACCAACGCGGCAGCACTTTGACCATTGCCTCAGGTAATCAAACCCAATCTTCCACTCTTGTCGCTCTTTCTCTCTCTTTCACATGGCTTTGGAAAAATACTTTTGTTTTTAATCCAAGAAATTTAACAAAAAACCAATAAATAAATAAATAAAACATTAAAACAAGAAAGTCCATTTCAGTTAATGTGCTCCCTCCGTGTTTAGCAAGTGGCCCTCTCTCTCTCTCTCTTTTGGCCTTATTGGATTTCTGTTCACATCCTGCGTTCCAGCTCAGTTCCTCGTTTTTCTTTGTGTATTTTTCAATGGTTTCTTTATGAAGATTTCCCTACCATACCGGGTCTTTTTCATTTTTTTTGGATTGTATTTGACAAAGGAATAAAAAATGGGAAAAAAATTTGGGTTGGGTCCTACTTGAAACTATGGAAGAACGTGGTTGATGGAACCAAAATTCCTTAACTAAACGTGGCTTACACCATTTTTCGACTTCACACCCTTACCGTTTTTGCTTCAGTTTTGGGGTGCTTTCAGCTTTGCTTTATTTGGTCATCTCTCTTTCTTAAGCCAAAAAAGAAACCTTGATTATTGTCAAACAGTTAACATCTTATCGACTTCTACTCTTAAAAAAAGCAAAAAAAAAAAAAAAAAAAAAGGTGCTTGGAAACAGAAAAGCTGTCTTTTTTGTTATCCTGGTTGGGTGGTTATTCTTTACCTTGAGTTTTTAAGCACAGGGTTAATGGGTGATTAAGTTTTTTCTTGATTGAGAATCACCTGCTACTTTTTTTTTGCTTGTTTTGCTTGTCTATTGGATTGGGGTGGTTGAGCTTTGTTCCTTGGATCCATTTCTTTGAGGTAAGAGAACAAAAAAGTTTCTCTTTTTACTTATTCTATTCATAAATGTTTGCAACTTTCTTCTTTATTTTACTTTTCTTCTAATTTTGATTTTGACAGTCTTTTTTTTTTTTTTCTGGGTTTTGTTACTTTATGCTTTTCTTTTTCTCTGGTATTACTTAATATCAAGTGTTTACTAGTTTTGTCCTTAAGATTGAATTTCTTGTCAAATGTTTCATTTTCTTGTGATTCAACAGTTTTATATGTAGCTGAGTTGCTTGGCTGATGGAAGCTGGTTTATTGTTATAGAGTTCTATTTTTGACAGTGAACCCCGTCAGTTTTCTTTGATATCTTTGTAATTTGAGTAATCTTCTCTCTTTCTTCTATACTATCTGGATTGTAGGCTTGATTGAGTTTAATCAAGTTGGTATGAATTTCTGGTTATGGCGTTTTTAAATTTTTTTTCTGCTGAATTTTCCCATCACTGCTTCTTCATTCCTTCCTTTGCCTCCTTATAATCTTAATGTTGATGTTATCAAGCTTTTAAAATTTGGTTATATGCCATAATTATGATTCTTAAACAAAAAAGAAGTATTATATATCTTGATTTTGATTGCCCACAGATTTACTTTTAATTTGCATTTGGTTGTTTTTATCTCCTCTATTATAGATACCATGAAAATAAAATGAAAAAAGACAAGGGAAAGTAGGACATATGTTCTTGTTTTTCTTGTTCATAACTTTCATATAGTTACATATATAAAAAATCAAAGCTCCATCATTACTTGATAAAGTTATTATTCAAGTCCAACATGTTCTGTTTTGTTTCTCAATTGAAAATACCCTTTCCAACAAGATTTGCATTAACCTTGTTCTTTCTAGTTGAGGATTGGTAGCGCACGAGTCATAGCTTTCTTGCCATTTGTATTTGTTTCTTTCTTTTGGTTCTATCTTGATGTAATTCTCCATATTATTCTTCAGATTTCTTGTGAAGTACAAATTGGATTGTTGGAGGCTTTTATAGTTTGGATTCTGTCTGCTGTCAAACTCACAGCAACCACTTTGAGGCAGAAAATGTTAACGAGGTGTGCTCATCATTAAGCACTATATTTAATCAGAGACTGAAGATGGACAATGCATTTGTTAGTGGACAGAAAGATGACGTGGGGAAAGACGATTCGCTGCAAAACTTGGAAGATAACACAGATATGCCAGGAGAGAATGGAACGAATTATTCTGAATTAAAATTGAAAAAGCTGGCAAGAAGGGTAAATCCACAGCATGCTCTGATATTAAATGTTAGCAAAAGATTACAAGCCGGAAAAAGTCTTATAAAGGATTCATTCCTTCGGAGTATTTTTGGCATAGGCAATAAGATTCCGAGGCATGTGGTTACTCTAGATGAGAAATATCTTCGTCATTGCCTGGAATTGATTCATGTTAATCCTGCAAAAGCGGCTCAATGTAACATCTCTGTGAACTTGAGCTCTGTAAAAATGGGCATTTTATCTGATGGACTGAATTCAGCTAAAATAAGGGATGAAGGTACATTTGATTTGGGCAGGTTTGTTTTTGACTGTCCGCTGGCAGTTGGGACTGATAATGTAGTCATTGGTCCTGCACAACAGTGGGTTGTAGGTTCAATAATGGGCAGCAGGAGTATGGCAAATATATTGAAGAGCCCATTGTTACAGAAAATGGGTAAATTGGATGTTGATCCAAGTTTGAATGATGTTAAAGGATCAATAAGTTATGACTTCACGAGCTCTCCTGGTGGTTTCGGTAACTATTACTCACAGAAGATAGGAAGTGAAACACCCATATCAGAAAATCATAAATATGGATCTGAGACTATGCATAAAAGGCTTGTTTCTGTGTCAAGTATAAACTCAACATGCTCTGATCAATCCTTTTCTTCTACTTCTACAACAATTTCTCAGGGAATGCTTCAGTGCACATGGAAGGGTGGGATTCCATATTTTGTTTTCTCCTTGGATAATCAGAAGGAGGTATATGTAGCAAATTTGTCAAAAGAAGGATCAGCTCACAATAAGGGTCTGGACTATATTTACTTGTTCCATTCAAGCAAGGGTAGTGATAAGGAACATGGGATTAGTGATAATGAGTCACACCTTGTTGGTAAGATGAAGGTATCTACTTCTTTCTCAATCTGCCCCCAAGATTCTAAAATCATGGAGACGGAGTTTGTTTTGTTCAGTGGTAATGGAACTTTTAATTGGGAGATGCAAACTTCAAGCCATACCCACAAGAAGAATAAGAGTCTATCAAAAAAGGTGGTGGAAGTATTCAAGAGCAGTCACTCGTCCAAGCAGAGAACAATGCCTAGATTTCTTAGGTCAAGTTCCATAATGGAGGATTCTTCTTGGGATCCATGCCAAGATATAGTCAAGAATTCTGATGCACTAGATGGGACAAATATTTTAGAGGAAGAACTTCCACCAAATCTTGAATTGACTGCCATTGTTGTGAGGGACCATTTCCCCGAAAATCCTCGGCCAGAAGTTGGAGGTTGGGGCTTAAAGTTTCTCAGGAAAGCTAGGGTTAAGCAATACGTTGACACTTTGGAAGCCCCAGTTCTTTCTGCTTGTTCTTGCGGTATCAGTGATTGCTCAACAAGTATGGATATTCTAGTTCCAGCTGGTATTCATGGTGGTCCAAGAACCAGAAATGGTGGCCCCTCTAGTCTTATTGAAAGATGGAGATCTGGTGGACATTGTGACTGTGGTGGCTGGGACTTGGGCTGTCCACTGACGATACTTAAAGCCAGATCAAGTAAAGAAGTAGGTTTACCTCCAACAGAAATGTCTGAGGCATGCAAGTTATTTGATTTTTACATCCTGGTATGTCAGTCTCTATGTTTCCCATCTTTTACAACTTTGATGGTTAATTCTATTAGGATTTAGCCTCACTTGCATCGTTTGGACAGATTCTTTTTCATGGTTAACAATCAAATAACTGTTTTATAACCTGAATAAGCGTTGTGATAACCATTGCCTCGACTTCAATTTTTCAGGGTTCAGAGCATGGTTCTCCAACCTTGAGGATGATAAATGTTCATGATGGCCTGTATTTTATTCGTTTTCAATCAACACTCTCAGCCTTGCAGTCTTTCTCAATTGCAGTGGCATGCATCCATACTCAAAGTCCACCTCTCCGACCAAAATTTGTACAGCAGTCGAGGTAGCAAGATTGAAAATTGAAGTTTATTTAGTTGTAACCTTCTTACTGTGGCACAACAGTGTGTAAGTTGAAATTTAGGTATCTATACATGAATTGAGATTTTTTTTTTTTGTTTTATGTTTACTCATAGCTAGTTTGACTGGTTTCAGATTGTTATCTTATATAGGTTGTCTATCATTAATCGGAATTTTAGCCATGATTTCTCAGAACAAAAGATATTGTATTTTTATCCTTTTTGATTGAATGTACAAGTTTGTGGAGTTAATTTTTTACCAGATGTATTCTATATTCTGTAGTCATTAATATTCAGTAAAATTTGGAGTTCTGTTTGTACAAACAAGAAGTGAAATTCAAGCAAAAGAAGAACAAGCATGTAGCTCAAAAATTGTAAGATAAAGCATGGGGCTGCATTTTGAGTGTGATGACTCAAATTTTCAAGTAGTTGTCATAAAATTATCTTTATATTAAGGTACTTTTTGCACATACTTTCATCAGTATTGCACTCATGCACCAAGCGAAGCTAGGGGGAGAGGCCGGTCCTTTGCCCAACTGCTCCGCATTCTCCAGGTAACATTACTACTTTTCACTCTCAAATGCATTTTGCTAGTTTGCTGTCAAATTCACATTAACTGTCTAATTGAGAAGCATTCTTTCTGATACTGTTGAGAGTGATGCACTATTATAATAGGCTTACACTTGGTCATAATATGCTTGTTTTGGTAGCATTAGTTTTCGTGTAAAATACACAAAAATCTTTCTGATACTATTGAGAAGGCTGAAAATAATCGATGCCCAAAGAAGATATGGAGCTGGAGGAAGTCAATGGAAAGTTACCAGAATATATGGTTCTACTGGTAGTGTGAGAATTGAATCCGATGCTAAGGCTGAAAATAGGAAGGGGAACAATCTGCAACAGATTTTTGGGCCCGGCTGCGTGTTTGTTGAGTATAGAAGCATAATGCATGGCTGCACATTGTTTACATGGATGGTTTTTTGACGATCGGATTGTGCTTGTGGAGTATGTTGACCTTAGACCTTTACCGGGATAAATTTCCAAAATGAATTGGATCATTGCAAATGTAGATATAACTGCTTCTCGTAACCTTTAAACTCCATACATCCTTTGTTAGTTTCAAGACTTGGTTCCTTCACGAACTCGAAGTTGATGATGAACTTTTATTTATAACTTTGGTTGTAGTCTTTCTTGCAAGCCTTGTTTGAAGCTTAAATGGAGATTTCAAAGAACAAATGAAATGGATGTGTTGCAGATGCTACTTTTTTAAGGCTTCTTTTGTCCGTATCAATAAAGGCATGCAAAATGGATATACTGAAATGCCTTCGAGATACAACCTTGTATCAGAAAAATAAAACCACCAAGTCTTTTGACTAGATACGTAAATACCCTCTCTTTGACAAGAATTTTTGCAGCAAAACAATGCCAAGAGACAAGCCATTTATTTTGAAAGAATACAAGAAAAGAAAGAAATTTTGAATTATTCAATTTCTCGATCTTTTTTAAATGAACACTCATCATTTTTATAGTAGATTGTTTATTAAAAATTAATTATAGATTTACGCTTCAAAATTTAAACCGATGTTATCCGTTATATTTAGTTACTAACTCTTTTAATGCAAACTCACTATGAACATTTTTTTTTATTGTTATGTAGTTAAGAATTTCACAAGCTGCAATACCAAATTAAAAAAAATACAATAATTTAAAGATCAAATGAGGAGCTATCCTTATAAATATAAATTAAAAAAATCATATTGATAATGAAATTTAGATTTTACAAAAAGAATTAATGAAATGACATTATATTTTAAGATATAATAAAAATAAAAAATAATTAAAACATAAAACATATGATAATTTCTTAACTTGTCACGTGAAATTAAATAACTAAGAAACCCTAAACTAAAATAGAATTTATTAAGCCAATGTTTCAATTAAGGAAACCCCATGTTGGGTCTAGGCCCAATTTAAAAAAGGGCAAAAACCCATATCGGTAGGCCCACACACCTTCAACAGTCATGAATCAACACAAACGCAAAACCCAAAAAAACCCTAATTTGCTCTATATAAATCTCAAAAACCCTAGCCTTTGCTCTTTGTTTCTCGTCAGCCGTCGAAAATGTCGAAGCGAGGTCAGTTTCCATCTCTCTTTTTTTCTCTTTCTATGATCCAATTTATTGTTTCATTTTCCTTTTCCACTCGTTCCCGAGAAAAAGAGAAAAATAAAGGCAAAAAATCCATCCTTTTATATTCGCTTTAATGATTCTAACCCTATAAACGAAATCCCAAATCAGGAAAACCCAGAAATGAAATTTACCTGTTTTTAATTTAAAAAATTCAAGCTTCAATAGCTGTTAGCCGATTTAAAATGCTGAGGATTTGTAAAAACAAAAAATGTAGTTTTTTTTTTTTTTTTAATTTTGGGTTAGTTTGTTTTTCATAAGCTGTTTAATAGCTGAAAAAGGTGTGATTTTTGTTTTTGTTTGTCATTAGGACGTGGAGGGTCAGCTGGTAACAAGTTTAGGATGTCACTGGGTCTGCCAGTGGCAGCTACAGTGAACTGTGCTGATAACACTGGTGCTAAGAACCTTTACATCATCTCGGTGAAGGGAATCAAGGGTCGCCTTAACCGTTTGCCATCAGCTTGTGTTGGAGATATGGTGATGGCTACTGTTAAGAAAGGGAAGCCTGATCTCAGGAAGAAGGTCTTGCCTGCTGTCATTGTGAGGCAGCGCAAGCCATGGCGCAGAAAGGATGGTGTTTACATGTACTTTGAAGGTAAATTTTTTTGCTGCCTTTGCGGTTTTTATGTTATGTAGATTTGATGATTATGGTTGTGTGTAGTTTCATTACATAGTAAAGGGACTTGAAATATGTGATCTATTGATGGTTTTTTACTTATTTCCATAGTTTAGGGTAAGTAAAAATTATATGATATTGATATGCAACTGATAAGTGGTGTTTATACTGTTTGCCGAAGATAGAGGTTTGCTGGTTAAGCGGTGTCCTGATACGTGCATTAACCCGTGCGTACTATGATTTGATGCTTCCTGAGACCAGCAAAATTATCTTATTGGTCGAATATTTTTATCGAGTGGGATTTCCCTCATTTGGGATCTCACTTTTCGCAATTTGATACATTTTTCTCATTTTGGGAATCTTACCTATGGTTTATAAACTATTATAACATTTTTATGTTGTTTTTCTTGCCTTTTTGGTGGTATTTATGCTGGTGATGTGGTGTGGAGAATATTTTTTTGTTCAGGGTTTCTCTACACCTCCCATACCCAGCTAAATTGAGGTACCAACCTTAGCCCAATACCAGGTGGTTATTATGGTTACCATCCCTGTCCAGGTTGGGACACTTGATATAAAATGTTCTTTATTTTGATTGTCTTGCTATCGTATGGTAGGGGATGACTGGTTAATGATGTGACCTGGTATTTAACTTGAAATTCTGCAAGTCTTGAATACAACAAGTCAAAATAATGTCATGTCACCAGACATAAGTCAGGTATCTACTTTATTGTTCAATGGTGGATACAGTTACTAGTCTGGAAAACCTAGTGTGTCCATCGTTGCAGATGCATTAAGTTTTTGAAGCTTGCATGTGCTCCATTTGGGCCCTATATATTTTCAAACATTGTAGGAGGAAATTCTGCAAGTCTTGAAAACATTGTAGTCTTGATAATCAGTTAAAATAATGTCATATCACCAGACATAAGTCAGGTATCTACTTCAATGTTCAATGGTTGATACAGTTACGAGTCTGGAAAATTGAGTGTGTCCATCGTTGCAGATGCATTAAGCTTTTGAAGCTTGCATGTGCTCCATTTGGGCCCCACATATTTTCAAATGTTCACGGTAAACTTTGTCTTCGATGTTGGCCAAAGAAAAAAAGTCTTCCACTGCTCATTTTGTTTCCATTACTTGATAACAGTATATGAGATTGGGTGTTTTTGGTGTTCATAAACATGTAGAATGTCTCTGATTGGAGACACTGCCTTTGTTTAATATTTTTTAGTTTTCTTTCAATTTATCTTGTTCTGACAACCAGCATATTCATTAAGTCACAATTCACAAGTATCTGCTCAGAAGATGCTAATTTCTGAAGTTTCTGATTCAAATTTTGTTTTGTTTGCAGATAATGCTGGTGTCATTGTGAATCCGAAGGGAGAAATGAAAGGTAAACAGCCAATTGAAAAACATTTCAATTATTCAGGACAACATCGAATTTTGTAATGTCTAGTTGAAATGATATTAAAATTGATATTTTCTTCTTGATGCTCCTGTTCTAGGTTCTGCCATAACTGGTCCAATTGGAAAGGAGTGTGCTGATCTGTGGCCAAGGATTGCAAGTGCAGCCAATGCCATTGTTTAGGAACTCAAATGTTAGAGATTTTGTCTCTCTGTTGGACTAATCATAGTATTCTGGATCAAGATTTTGTTATATTTAGCTTTTGTTTCTTCAGAATATCATTGGGATGGTTTTGATTGATTTTGGATTTGATGATGAATGTAGTTTATGAAGAGCTTTTCCTATGTTTTTGTTTGTAGCCATTTTTTTTAATCATTTTGAAGCTATGTTTATCATTACATTTGTGTTCTTTAAATCAATATGTTGATAGTAAGTCCACTTGATTACGGCTTGTATAAGGCCCATGTCTTGTGCCATTAAATTTTCACAAGGTCATTTCTTGCACGAATCACTTATCATTTCTTTTACTTTGGTGATTGGTATAGGCTAATCACTCTAAAAACTATGATGATTTTATGTATGGTGATTAGATTGCTTTAAATTCTATGATGATCAACTTATGGTAATTAGATCAGTTTGTATGGTAATTATTTTGTTATTTTATGTTTTCAAACTAATATTTACTATAATAAGTTTAAAATAATTTATGTATGTTTTATTTTTTAATATTTTATTATAATATGATTTTTAATTTTTCTTTTATTATGAATTACATAAATTGATTTTATTTTTTAATTCAAATATTTTTTTACATAATTTATATTATAAAAATCAATTTACCTATAAGCAAAAATATTTATTGATTTAATAATTTAATTATATTTATTATACAATAAATAAATATTACTAATATTTTATTAATTATTATCTTTAAACAAATATAAAATTTTTAATTTATATAATTATTATAATATGTATTGTTATTTTCATACTTTAAAAATAATAAAATAATTTTAAATCATGAATGTTAACATCATTTTGATAATAAGATCAATTTTATAATTACGCGCCATGATAATTTTACAAAAGATACCAAACACTGCCTTATAAGAAATCACTTCAACTTGATTGCCGACAAGTAAAAGATTGAAAGAGTTATTCAATAATACAATGACAAGAATTTGATTCAGAAATGTTTGAAGACCTATAGCAAAAACCACATTTTATTAGAACTAGTAATCTTCATTCAGTGGTTCTTTCTGTCAACACCCTTGTTCATTTTGGCACAGTATTCAAACAAACTCCCATCAAAACACCCCCTTACAGCTTCTTTAGACAGAAAACCATTCTCGTCCCTAGCAAGCCTATACAAAAGCACCCATTCTCCCTTGGCTATAACCCTGCAAACCCATGATAAAAGGATCAAAATGAAAAAACTTCAAAAGGATTCAAATGGACGGAAATGAAATCAGAACTGAAACAAAGCATTTTTTGAATCAAAAACATCAATTTCGACGCTAAGGGTCGTTGAACAAACCAGCCAATAAAGTCATAGGCCACCCGATTTGCCTCAGTCATCCGCCACATCTCTCGGAAAGTTAGCTTGTCAGGCTCTGTGCGAGCATACTTGCTAAATATGTTCTCAAGGTTCACTGGCATAAACCTGCAAGCAACACCATTGTACAAGAGTATTAAGAATGGTTAAAAGGATTTTTAGCTTTATGTTTTTAGTGTTCAAATTTATGAGAATTTGATATGCTAACCTTCCCTCAGTGTCAAATGTTGCTGAATCACTACCATGTTTAGCTTTGTGTATCCTGTCTATATATACGGGAAATAATAGATTTGGCAGCCATCCCTGTGAAAATTGTCCAATGCAACATCAGCTATTTGGTGGGGTGCGTATATATATTTACAGGAGAACTTTACAAAAGAGAATACAAGTTATCACAAAAACTTACAGGGAGAGTGACATAACTCAATGCTAAATTGATGAGAATTGCAATAATAGAAGAGGAAATTGGATTGATGCCAATATCTCTCAAACCTGGTTTTCACATGGTGAATATAAAATTTGTCTAAAAGAGAAAAAAATCATATTAATCTGAAATTTGGAAAATTTTAGTATTTTACCTCTGTAAGTCTCCCAGGGATAAACAATTCCATTGTTGTCTTGGTCAAAAAAAGAAACATGTTGCTGAAGAACACTCATTCCATTATTCTTATGTCCTGCTGTTCCATTTGGATGTTCCACATCAGGAGCTTCCAGTGCTCTAGCCAAATCTAATTCCATATTTTTGGTAATTAGTCATAGGAGAAGAAAAAAAAAACAACAAAAAAACCCTGACACGTTAGATTTTGTTGTATATGTGATAAAGAAGTTAAAAGGATTGAGGATATATTTGGTTTTTAATTACTAAACTAATGCTTTATCACCAGATATAAAAATATGGATAAACACGAGTTGTGTCGTCTCTTCTGGCCTTCTACGAAAAAAAATGGCAACCAATGACAATTGAAATCAAAAGGAACAAGAAAGAAATAGGGATTTAAATTTACAGGGTTTTGGTAATTTTTCTTCCAGGTTATCTCTAATCTTCCTTTCACTAGTCACCGGAGCTTTGGGTGCCTCAGTTGCAATAGTTTCCTTCTCCATTTTTGCTCTTCTCTCTTTCTGATGTTGTGAGCATTTTGATAAACAATGAAGCTCCTTATAAAGTTATTTTGGTCTCAAGAGACGACAAAAAAAAAAAAAAAAGGGACCAAAGAAAAAGGGCATGTAAGAGAAATTAATTCAATAGTTGGTTATTCCAAACAATCTTTTTCCTACTTTTAATTACCTAATAAAAGATTTTTCCTTTAATAGAAAGTGAAAATGGATGGGCGAAATCGAGTTCTACACGTTTTTCATAGTTTCTCCATTTTGGAAGAGGAGAAAGGACCACATAAACCAAAAAAAAAGAAACACCTCCTTTTCATGGAAAGTAATCCTCCTGGTGTTTATCATTTCAAAGACTATCATACGTGAATTTTCGTTTACGCAATTTTCGTTTGGTATATTTGGTGTCCCTGTGGAACGTATGGTGCTTGAATTACGACGTGACTGTATCATTTTGAATAAAAATTATGCTGTACTTATCGTTGGAAAAACAATGGGACAGTGTGATTGATGCACTGTACCTTCGGTTTGGGATAGGACCCTTAGGAGTTAAATGAGATTTTTAAGTCCAATGTAATATTTATTTTTGGGATGTTCTAAATACATCACAAAATATTTTATATATGGTATATAATTTTTTTTAAAAAATATTCACATACCAAATATTAAATTTAACTTTTAATAAATTATAAAAATATAAGCAAACTCTCATACACTCTATAAACTTTTTCTTATTCTTTTTCCCCCTTTTCTTTTTTTTTTCTTCCTCTTTCATTCCTCTATCTCGTACACTAAACTCTAAATCTTTAAAACTAAGTAAAAATTTTGAAACTTCTTGTTAAATCTTACAAATCGTTTAAGAACGTATTAAAAAATGAGAAACAATAATAGAATAGAAGAGCTTAATGAGGTAACGAAATATAGTTTGAATATTTTATGTTTTCGAAAATCGATTTTAGAGAACACAAAAAACTTTCGAAAATAAATTTTCAACTTAGAAAATAAATTTTTGAGAATTACATTATATTATTGGAAATTCATTTTTGAAAATATATTATAAGTTTATGTAATCTTTATATTTCTATTAATAAAATTTTTTTAACATATTGTGATATGTAGATCAATTTAAAAATTGCACTGATAAAGTGGGATCAATCACCAGATAATTTAGATTCTAGATATGATTATATAGATTTATTTACTATGATAGAGGTAAGATTATGTTTATAAAATTTAGTATTATTAGAAGGCATAGAAACATAGAATGTTAGTTTGTATAGAAGTAATAAGTTAAAAATGTTATGCAAGTATTTTATAGTAAATAAGCTTTCATTTCATGGATTAGACATGTTGTAAAAGATTAAGGTTTCATGATTGTGATTAAAAACTCCGAAGTGAGAGACTTCAAGAAATCTAAAATAAAATTAGCGTATGAACAAAGTGGAAAATACAAATAGTTTAAGAATAAGAGCAATATAGAAGAAATGAAATGTAAGAGAATAGAAAAGAAAAAATGTAGTTGCCCGTTTGAATTACATGGGATTAAATTGGAAATGGATGATGAATGGGACATGAAAGTAGTTTAAGGAATTCACAATCTTCCATTAGCACAACAATTAGAGAGATATTCATATATGGGTTGATTAACTGAAAAATAAAAGAGATTAGTTATTGATATTTCAAATGGTATGGTTAGACAAAAACATATTATTGACCATAAAACAACACAATGAAAAGAATGTTAGCATTATAAAGATAATATACAATGAACGTAAAAAACACAAATATGTTGAAAAAATTAATAGATCACAAATGCAATAATTGATGAAGAAATTGAGTGATAGTAAATACCTAGAGTGACATAGGTATGACAAGTTAAGCGACTGTGTGAAAGATATGTTCTGGGTTCATTTTACTAGGGTAGAGTTATTGCAAGCCTTCCCATCAATCTTAATTATGGCTTGCACTTATAAAATGAATAGGTATTATATGCCACCGCTTGAACTTGTTAGTGTAACTTACATTGAGATAACATTTTCTGTTGTATTTGTGTACATGTAGGTAGAATGTTTTGATAATTACTTTTAGGCACTGGATAAGTTAAAGATTTCATGCTTGGTGGTAAATTTTTAAATGTCATTGTTATTGATAGAGAGTTGACATTGATGAATGTCATATAAAAGTATTTTTTAGTACAATCAATCTTATTTGTAGATTGCATATTAACAATTGTGAATTATGGGAAGTTTTTTAAATGAAAGGAGAAATATGAGGCATTCATGTTTGGTTGAAGTGTACTGGTGTATTCATCTACCTATGAGAGTACAAAAGATATCTAAGCTCATTAGAAATTGACTATCAAACTTATCTAAGTTCATTAAAATATGTGAAAAATCAGTAGTTGGTAAAGATAATGACAGTTTATTGCTGCTTGGATGGATAAAGTAATACACTTTAGCAATGTTACAACAAAAATTTATGATTTATATTGCAATTTTTTCAATTCTATTAATGTAAAACTTTTTAAATGATTTTATTAATTTATTATATTATTATTAATTATTTATTAACATAATTATTATTTACTATAAAAATATATTTTTTAATTTTTTAATTGTCTATTAATTTTATAAATATTAATAATTTAAATTTATTATTATATATAAAATTTAATTTAATATTCTTAATAATTATTTATCACTACATTTACATTCAAACACATATCTTACCATTAATTCACCATTAATTCACTTCAATTGTTTTGAATTTCACATTCAATTGTTTTGAACCTCACTGAGATTGGTTCACCGAAATCAATCTTACTATCAATCCAAATTAACCCCACCGAAATCACACCGTCAATTCAAATAAACCCTCAGTTAAAATTGGCTAAAAATTTGACTAGCAGCAGACACACTTCCTCATCATGTTCACATGGTTTGAAAGGAAAGAAAACACCAGACAATTGGACACTTTCATGCCAAATCTATAACTCAAGAGCCCTGTCTTCATCTTTTTATAGTAACTCTTTATTGTCCTGGAAATAAGCTAAGCTAGAATCTGCATGGGCAGCATATACAGGATAAAGAAACAGATGCTAATGAAACTGAAGTAGAAGTTTCTGGTTCAGAGGGAACTTCTAGCATTGCACTCACTTAACCCATCTTCTCCTGGCTACCCTTGTTCCTTTTAGCACAGTACTCGAACAAGCTACCGTCGAAGCAACGTCTTACAGCTTCCTTAGACAACATGCCTTCCTCATCCCTTGCTAGGACATACAGAATCCCCCACTCGAACTTACTAGCAATCCTGCACTTGCAATCCATGATCACATTTTAGAGGTTTTCCATCAGAAGACACTATTGTTTTGAAATGGAAAAGAAAAAGGGCCCTGAAGCTAACAAACCAGCCAAAGAAGTCGAATGCCTCTCGGTTCGCCTCGGTCATGTGCCAAAGCTCTCCCAGTGTAAACTTATCAGGCACTGTAAGAGCATATTTGCTGAACATGTTTTCAATGTACGCTGGAGTATACCTGCAAATCAATTGCATAATAACAACGGTAGAACAAGTTAAAACAAAAGAGGTTTTGCTTACTAAACGTGCTTAATTACCTCCCTTCACTGTCATAAACACCTGAGTCACTACCATGCTTGGCTCTGTGTATGTTGTGAACGTATATGGGGAAGAAAGGCGAAGGAAGCCACCCCTGCAAAAGGAACATTCAATAATGTAAAGAACAATGAAATTGAATTCACTTAAATTTCCATTTCCATTGAGTTATAAGCTGGAAATCCAACATCAGACTAATAGTCAGCAAAGCAAACTCACTGGCAGTGTAGCATAGCTCAATGCCCCATTAATAAGAACCGACATAACAAGAGAGGCAATAGGATTGAAGCCAATGGCTCTCAAGCCTGTTTTAGAAATGAAATTAAAAGATCATGTGATAAGCACAAAACTGAGAGATAATTTGAGCAACAATGGAGTATTTACCAGTGTAAGTCTCCCAAGGATAAATGATTCCATTGTTGTCTAAGTCGAAAAATGCTACATGCTGCTGAAGGACGCTCAATTGGTTATGCCGGTGGCCTGGTGTTCCATTAGGGTGTTCAGTATCTGGAGCCACCAAAGCTCTAGGCATATCTGAATTTAAATATACATACAAAAACAGAGAAATTAGCATCATTTCTTCAAGTACTGTCGTAAATTAAAATTTATTCTTCAACTTTCACCACACCAACAATTTATCTTTTAGATTCAATTTTATACGTTTAATACAAAAGGAAGTACATAAAAAGAAATATCAAGGTTAAAATTCATACTGAAAACAAACTTTTCAAGTTAAAATTCTAGGTTGACTGATCATTTATGCCTATATATACAAAAATAGTTCATAGTAAACAGCAAGTTAAAATCCCAGAAAATTAATCAATTGAAATGAAGGCTATAAAACTAGAATTTGAGAGCAATTAGAATTTACAAGGTTTTAGGAGTTTGTCTTCCAAGTCATTCCTGACTCTTCTTTCATAAGTCACAGGTGCAAAAGGAGCCTCAGTTGCCAGTGCCTCTTTCTCCATAGCTGAAGCCTTTCAAATTCTCACTCCTTTTCTTTTTTGCCTCTTTGATTCTTCTTCTGTATAAAGGGGTGGCTTAGCATCTTTATATGGGTGATATAGTTGCGTGCAAGCCGTGCAAGGAGAGCTCGTTGGCCTGTTGGCCATGTGGCATTGACATTGAATGCTTTTTTTCATAGCATTTTCCTGTTTTCACCCCCAACATTTGGCATCTCCTAAGAAATGCGTCCAAAGAAGCTGTCATCTTTACATTTTACAAAGTGATTAAAAATCAGCATCCGAATTTTTTTTTTCTTTTGAAATGTTTCAAATCTTAACTTTACAATTATGGTCCTCTCTTGGCTTATCAACTAAGCAAGAAAGGATCAATTCCAAAATGCAATAATTGTGTATGTGGTATTGCCATTTTTGTTATTGGACAATCCTTTTGAAGGACAAAAATAAGGCACCTAATCCAAATAAATATCAAACAGGTGTTTATCCAAATCAAATTCAAACATTAGTTGTGTTTCAAGTTTCATCTGAAAGTTTTTTTATTGTTAGATAATTGATTAGATATAAGGATTGTCAGAAGAGTTTATTAGGGTTCATTTGACATTGAAAAATTTAGGATTAAGTAAAATACGATATTTTTTATTTAATTTTTATTTGTCTTTTTCTTTTATTAATTTTTAAAACATGGATTACTTTTAAAGTTTAAAATATGGATTACTTAATATACTTTCTAATGTTTTAAATTATAAATTATATTTTTATTTTTATATATAAATATAAAAATAATATATGTGATATTATATAATTTAAAAGATGGATCAGATTGCTTAAGCTTGAATTTTGAATGTTGGAGTCAAGGGTAGTTCATTTTTCAAACAAAACATTTTAAGTCTAAATCCATTTAATCAATTTAATATATAGTTTCAAATTAAAAAAAAAAAACCTAATCTTTGAACAAATATAATCAGAAGTTATTAATGTGCTTGATTAACTAAAACTTTTGTTAAAATGTATTTTTTGTTTTAAGATGTTATTAAATTTTAATAAATTGGTTGTCGGACGACATTAAATACATGATATAACATATCTTATATTTTTTAATAATCAAATTATTAAAATATATTCTTAACTGATTTTGAATTTCTCATTATGAAAAAAATACTAACCAAAATTTGAATTAAATTAAAAAAAATTGAGCCCTATTCTCTTAGATTTCAATCAGATCTTCTCTAATCTAGGTAAAATGTAAGGAAAGAAAAAAAAAAAAAGGCTTGGATGAAAAAAATAAGACTTTATTTATATTTTGTTGGTGATAAAAGGTATTTGAGATTCGTCAAATACTTTTTTTTACCGATTCAAATAAGGGTAAAAAAAATTAAAAAATTAAAAATCGATTCAAAATTATAATATTTAATTTAATTTTTTTGTTTAATTTAGATTAAATTAAATATTAAATATATTATTAAATTTGAATCAAGAAGTGAAAAATAAAAAAAAAAATCAACTAAATCAAATTATATATTTTTATTAATATATATTAAATTTTTATAAAATAAAAATAATTATTTTATATTTAAAATCTATTTAAATATATTAAAAATTATATTAAAATAATATATAAAAATAAAAATTAAATTTTAAAAACTGATAAATTAAACCAAACTAATAAAATTTAATTTAAATATAATTAAATCATATAAAAATTTAATTAATTTTTAAAAATTTATTATTATATATATTATTTAAAAAATTAAATCGAATTCGATTAACAACAAGCAAAAAGCCGTACCAAATGAAGCATAAGAAACCATTTGAAGTATAACTTAGCCTCGTTATTATAACCAAAGCCCCAAAGCCCATCAATAGTCCAAACCCCAAAACTACAAAAGAAAACCCAAAACCTAAATTTGTCTCTTTTGTTTTCCATTTCCTCTTCAAAGAGCTAAAAGGAAGGAAACGAAAAACAAAAGAAAAAAAAACGTATGGCGAGTGAGGCGGCGGCGGTGGCGGCGGTGGTGGCAGCGGAGGCAGCAGCAACAGGGGCAGAGAAGCAGCCACATAAGCTTGAAAGAAAGTGGACTTTTTGGTTTGATAACCAATCAAAACCTAAACAAGGCGCTGCTTGGGGTACTTCTCTACGCAAAGTTTATACCTTTGACACCGTAGAAGAATTTTGGTGGTAATTTTATCAAAAACCCATTTCTCTTTTTTTGCCTATACTTTTAAGATCTGTTGTTTTTTTTTTTCTGGTGTTGATAATTGATTGTGTTTTTGGATTTGTGATTGTGTATTAGTTTTTTATTAATATTTTTTATCTTTTGAAAAAAGGTTCTTTTCCATTTTTTTTTCTGTCTCTAAATTATTGGTCATTGGAGATCTACTTTGTTTAAAAGAGAAAAGGGCACTTTGGTTTTTGTGTTTGGTTCCTAAGAATGGATTGCCTTGGAGGTTGTTGAGGATATGGTCTTACCAGAATTGTTAGCATAACTTGAGTTTGCAAAATTTGTTCATTTTCCTTATGATTCAATTTATTGATATCTCTCCTGTTTAGCAGCATGACATGATTTCACGAAATTTGCCCATTTTTCTTATGATTCAGTTTATTGATATCTCTCCTGTCTTGCTTCAAGGGAACTTGAATTGGTTTCTGTTTTTTGCCTTGTTATGGTTTTGAAAGTTGAGACTCAAAATACTTTTGTTATGTTTCAGTTTGTATGATCAAATATTCAAGCCCAGCAAGTTGCCTGGAAATGCTGATTTCCACTTGTTTAAGGCTGGAATTGAGCCCAAATGGGAAGATCCTGAGTGTGCTAATGGAGGAAAGTGGTCTGTCACTAGCAGCAGAAAGGCTAATCTTGATAACATGTGGCTTGAAACTGTAGGCATCATGAGTCCTGATTGTAATGCTTACCAAACACACACACACACACAATGTGGAGTGGATTGATGGTTTGTTCTTTGTTAAATTGGGATTTATTGGGATTTTGGCTGACTGATCATTTTTGGTTGGCCAGTTGATGGCATTGATTGGCGAGCAATTTGATGAGGCAGATGAGATTTGTGGCGTAGTTGCTAGTGTACGCCAGAGGCAGGACAAACTTGCATTGTGGACCAAGACAGCCACGAATGAGGCTGCTCAGGTCTATATCATAGTAACTATTGATACTATGAATTAGAACCTATTTATTTGTTGAATTAAGAATCTTGTGCTTTGAAAAACTATCTATACATCATCTTTACAGAATTAGTTTTATTGCTTGAATCCTTACGCTCATGAGCTTGTCTAATTTTTTACTTAGAAATTTCTTCAATGATCGCTCTGCAAGAAATTGCTTCAAGTTTATGTACATTAAATATATGCTCAGATTGACAATGATTTTTCTATATCTCCAATAAGTCAATAACATGTTTATATCTATCCGATTGCTCATCCATTGTAGAAAATTTATTTTCATATTTAAGGGGCTAAAGCTTTTGTTATAAAGATGGATTTATCTTTTCAATTAGAATATAAAAGAAGTGAAATTATTTATATTGATGTAATAATTGGGCACTGCTTTCAGTTCATCATTCATCCATTTATTAAGAATTTGACAATTTTAGCATGCTGGCAATTTACCATTGCACAGGGGGTCATCTTCTGATGTTTCATCTACATTTATAAGTTAGTTTTCTGATCTCTCTAAAACAAATATTTTTTGCATGTAAACTATCTCGTTCACATATATAAAGTTCCTCTCACAAGTCCAGATCACATTACCATGTTGTTGTGATGCATAATTTGCAGAAGGACACTGAAGCTATGGTCGCTATTTACCCATGCTTTTGATGATTTAGTGTCCATTTGAAATTTTTGAATGGCATAAATGTTGATAATGTTAATTTTAACCATGTGATCTAGATGGGCATTGGTAGGAAGTGGAAGGAGATCATTGACGTCAATGATAAAATTACTTATAGCTTCCATGTAAGTGTAACTTGATTGGTATTTGTGATTTTGATTGCATATTCTCTTACTGCAACTGACAGCTTTGTATGTCGCAGGATGACTCGAGAAGGGAAAGATCAGCGAAAGGCCGATACAATGTTTGAACTCTTTGCTGGTTTCTTTGTGGTGCTTGTACTCTCTATTGCCAAATTGTAGCCGGAAGTACTGTAATTTGTTACCTATTTTTGTGCTTTGTGCGCTGAGAACACTAGATAGTTGAAATATTCTGCATGTGAGTTTTTTTTAATGTAATACCATCAACAATCAAGTTCTATGTTTAGATATTTTTTATATTCTAGTATTGAGAAATTTATTCCTTGAATACTCAAATTTCCTGTCTCAGTTCTGAATATGCATGTCTGTTGGTTTTCCTGAAATCTTCTGTAAAGAATTCTTGTGATGGATTCCACTTTGCTGGCAGCCTTAAGATTCTATTTTTGAAATAAATTAGACCTATCAATTTGTGTAACTGTATTTGTTTGTTTTGTGTTTAACACTTATAATGCTTGAAAATTATCGAATCATAATTCATGTGGACACTGAAATACAATGTACATCTTTGTTTTTACCTACTTCATTTATGGTTTTTCTAAGACACTAAATCATGTGGATTTCATTTTTTAACCTTTTTGTATCGTCTCTAATTCTATTGTTTAAAATTGGCAAATCTTTTACATTTGGCAATGTTTTCTGCTTTGATTGCTACTGGTACATCCCTAAAACAGAATAGGGAAGTTTATCATGCTTAAGTTGAAGGTATTCTGTTGGCCACCATTTTATCTGATAGTTTATCATTTTGGGGTGGGTGCTGGGTCTCAGGTTCAAACCTAAGCATCTTTCATCTCCTACATAGCTACCTGCCTACCTCCTTTTCTTAAATCACCACGGTTATAATTAAGAAGAAAAAACTAATGGTAACCATTTATACATTCTACCAGAAATTAAAGCTTTCAATTTTCTGAAACATCAGATGGGTTGATTCTAATCTAAATCGTTGAACTTGTTTGCTCGTTTCTGAGTTTTGTTTCAATGGTCTGAAACTTAAATACTACAACTAAACTGAAGGTTTCAAGTACATAAGAAGGAAAGACGTGTTTACATTCTGAGTCTCCAAGGAAATACCCGGATGAAGAACGCTTTAACATCTTGGATGTCCTTGGAATGGACTGAACATCTCTAATAGTCAAGACAAAATACACGTGTGTGGTCATCATCATGCAAGGAAGCCAAGCCTTTCCCCATTCTTCTTGGCCAGACGAATCAATCCTTGCCTTTGTTTAGCATCAGCTCCTATTGATTTGCAGAATTCAGTAATTACCTGGAAAAGAAACAGAGGACTTCAATAACACGCTATCACAATTGTTGGGAACCTGGTTCATTCCTAGCTCTGTTCCATTTGACAACAAAGACAAAATGGACAAATTTTGGACATGGGTAAGTTCCATTTTCAAACATAAGACAGAAAACTGCAGAAACTTTTGTGCATGTCCTCAAATCTCGATGTTTCTCAACTGTTATCCAGAAAGAAACTTGGTGCCTGCGAGTGCAAAGCAATTGCTTTTCCTCTGGGCTGATTGAACCTTTTCTTGCCAATAATTTGGCGTGTAACAACCACAATAGGAGCAAACAAACCTTTCCCTTCATTGATGTTCTTCATCATAGTCTGTGCTCTAACAGGCTTTCCAACTCGAACATGGTTCGGAACTGACTTAGCCATCATGGCATAGTCTTCACCATATACTGAAGTGCCCCAACTTCCATAGAAGGAAGTTCCTAAACCTCCCTTAAACCCAGTTGCAGAAATTGAAGTAGCCATTGAACACCTATTCAGAACTTTTCTCTAGCTGCTATGAATCTATGGATGATGTTTTCTCTATATTGTTCCGAATTTGTGATTGATAAAGCTTGATGCGTTTTTTTTTTTTTTAAAATTTAAGATAAATAAATTATTTAATTTTTTAAATCAAAATAAAATGTATTATATTTATTTAAAATATAAAATTATAAATTATGTATTTAAAATAATATCAATAAATAACTATCAATAAAATTTGAACCAAAGATTTTTAGGTTTAAAAAGAGGAGGTTTAACCAATTGTGCTGAAAATTGAAATAGCCAATGAGCACCTATTCAGAACTTTTCTCTAGCTGCTATGAAACTATGGATGATGGTTTTTCTCTAAGTTAGTTTCGAATTTGTGATTGGTAAAGCTTGATTGTTTTTTTTTTTTTTTTAATACGAAATATATAGGTTATTCATCTTTTATATTAAAATAAAATATAATCTAAGATAAATGATTATAAATAATATATTTAATATAATTTTAATAATTAATTACTAATAAAATTTAAATTTACAATTTTTACGTTAAAAAAAATAAACCTTAATGCCTGACGGGGTTTTTCTCCGTGCGTAAATTCAAGAGCTTCAAGGTTTTTTATTGGAGCCTGGTGGGTGGGGCAGTCCATTAGAACATTAGGAGCCACATATTTTGATGGCTTGGATTTTTTAGTTTTGGAATGGGACCACGGATATTATTTGCATTCTATTTGTAAGTTACGGTCCCGAATTTCAATAAAAAAAAATTTAAAATTTTAATAAAAAATATGTAAATTTTAAAAAATAAAAAATATATTTATATTTAACTATTAACAGACGTAACAAACACACATTCATAATCGAATTGCCAGCTGTATTTTTTCTCACAACAACGAAAGAAATAGATAAAATAAGTAGAAATTAAAAATATAAATCCAAGGCAGTAATTAATACTGACATAAAAATAGAATAAAGGTTGAGAAAGTCAGCTCTCACGATCCGGCCAAAGGGCTTGAGTTTCCGCTTTGCACGTTCGTTGCTTGCTTCTCCTTCCTCTCCGCCCGAAAACAAGGAAAACAAATTTAGAGACAGAGAGATTAAGAAAAACGGTGAAATCCCAAACCAAAAAAATGGCTTCTTTAGCTACCCATTTGTCAGCCTGTCTCTTCTTGGTCCCTATAGGCATCCGACGCCTCCTTTGTTCCTCCTCTCTCTTCCTAAAAGACCCATCTTTTTTCAAATCAAAACCATGGTACTTCTCCAATTCCAAATGGAAAAACTTGGATCTTTACATCCTCTCAATTGCCCTTCCCCTTGCTTCTTTCTCTCAAATTTTCCTTTTTATTTCTATTTCAGGTCACTCCACTTACCGTTTCTCCTTTTTCCAACAATTTGCAACCCTTTCTCTCTTCTGGGTACTTATCATTTTCTTTGTTCTTCATGACGGTCTTGACCATTTTCTTTTCAATGAAAGTTTCATATTTATTTACGCTGCCATAGCCTTTCTTGTTGAGTATTCTGTTATTGGGGTTGGCATTATGGGTCTTGGAACCGTTGTTTATGAATTGCTGGCTCAATTGACTCTTCTTTGTGCTGGTTCTTGTTTGGTTTTGTCCGTCAAACCAACCGCCTTCTTTGCCGAGTTCTTGTTGTCCATTGGATTGGTTTTTAAAGGGACTTGGTTGTTGCAAGCTGGTTTATGTTTGTACACTGATGCTTTTGTTTTAAAAGGTTGTACGAAAATGGTGCTTTTGCCTGGTAGTCCTAATGCTGATGTTCATTGTGAGCTTGAAGCGGATGGTATTAGGGGTGTAGCTTTGGTGAATCTGTTGTTTGTTGTTCATGCAATAGGGGTTGTCATTGCTGGTTTTGTGGTTTTCTGGCTTTTGTCAAGGTTTAGGAATCTGAGGTGTGGGGAAGCAAGTGGTCCATTGCTGGCTGGGCTTGAACCAGAGAGTACATTGATGCGCCTGAGTCGTGAACTTGAGATGGAATGATGCGTATGCTATTTTTTTTTACCTTTCTCTCAAGTAGTCTATTACACAATTTTTTGCGTTTTTGTTTAGAGAGGGATTACTTGTTCGTTCCTTTTCTCTAAGTAGGCATTGTTTTAGAGTTATCCTTCTTGGTTGTATACATACATTTCTTGCCTTTAATCTTTACATACATTTCTTTTAATTATGGAGTTGGAGTGCCTCTCTGGTTGATTAATATTGTTATTTATAGTCAAAATTTCTTATAAGCACTGTTCATATAGTAAATGATGTGAAACTGAGTGGAGTGGAATAGATTGCTCAAGCATGTATGTTGTGATGAGGGGCTGTCTTTGTGCAGAGTTTACAAGAAAGTTCAGAACTAGAAATTCTGAGTCTTTCAATTGTTGGTTGGGCCCTGGCATGATCAACTATCTTTGTGATCTTGGTCATGTTCATTACTGATGTGAGTGTCAGATGGGCATGCTTTGGTGCGTGTTGCTGCAATATGGGATTTATGAAGACCAAAATGTTTGTATATTACCTGGTTGTTGGGTGATTATTGATTGCAGAACTTTTGTTTCTTTAATTCTAATGGCAATATTAGATTGGTGAAGATCATGGTGTTTGTTACAATGAAAAGAATAATGGAAGTCTATTTATGTCACTGGTTTATGTAGATGCAAAAGAGAAAATTATTCTAGTTTAGTATATCCCTTTGAAGAAGAGAACTTCAGCATTGTCAACCATCGCCTACGAAAACGCCCAAAACCATGGATTTTAATCCGGAAACGGATCCTCATAATCTTCCTTGTGAAGTCACGACAACTTCGTTTGAGAATTTTAGATTTTGATGATAACTTGACCAGTTTTTTCATGTATTGCCATCCTGCATTTTCTTGAAGGAAACAATTATAATGAGAAAGAATCATTTCTAAAATATTTTATTTTGCTGAGTTTCCTCACATGTTCTTCCCAAATGTCATGGACTAAATCATCAGCTAAGCTAAGCTATGTGCTGATTGTTGAATTCATACCTTGAAACTTTCTAATATGTCTATCGTCTTCTAAGCTTGAATTTTGCAGGACCTGCAGGTTGATTAAAGAGCATTAGTAGTTATTGCAAGGTGAGGTATGCAAGTAATTTAACTTGAGTTTGTTTGTTTTTGAAGTCATTGAGTCATTGAATTCGGTGTGACTATACATTTGATGTGAGAACAAAGAACAGAAATGTTTTTTCTTCATTTTTTGTTGCAACTAGTGATAGACTGCAGACCCTCATGACACATTGGATTCCAGGGTTTCAGCTCATTACCTCAACCAAACTTTCCAACCGCCTTCTCATCCTTCTTTGTATGAAGCCTCTGGTGCACTGTTAAACAATTTTGCCAGAACAGGACATTAAAGCTCCATTTCTTATAATTCCAAATATGAAAAAATGAAAAATTTCCCAGTGGAAATGAGATAAGAGGAGAAGAAGGATGGGTGATGGGGAAGCTTAAAGCAATAAAAAAAATTACCTTTACATGGTGTTTCACATAGGCATAGAAGTTTAATAGACTCCAGACTGTCTTGTCTAATCTTTTACCTTCAACATGGCGTGAAGATATATCTGTCAAACAAATAAAAGTCATGCGAATATGTCTTAGGCTGCAAAATCCATCTAATGCTAAACTGACATGAATCTGTTGAAAAGCATCATTTGCCTAGATTTCATGGTCTTCATTAAGCCTGGCTGAAGGCACTGATTTTAACTATTATAGGTGTCAAATCTATATTTTGAATCTGTTCTGTATGTTGAAACTTGAAACAAAGAGTTTAATCATGCAGCTGATTTTTTCTGTAGTATAGCTGCTAAATGATTGGAATGTGATTTAATTACTCTATTCATTTAAGATTGGACAATGTGTTGTACCGAAAGAGACAAATCCTCCATTAGTGCTCAAATCTTCCAACGGTTCCCCTCTAAGTTCAGCTGGTGGAATGGGTGACCAGTTGCAAGGAGGTGCTTTAGCCCATTTTTCTGAACTTCCCACATCCATGAGTTCCTGTTTAGGTAACAAATAAGGGAAATCCCACTATTTGCAGCTATGGGAATAAGAGTTACAATTTTTGTTATGTTAGAAATCACTGAAAGTTTTGTATTATCAACCAGAAACCTGAAAGAAGGATGTTGCGATGATAACATCTGAATAATCTTTGAAACGCATGGGGAATACTGCCACTATTTTATGAGGCTGCCAAAAATGTTCTCATTCATTAGAAAAATGCTGGAGCCAAAATGGCAAAATGTAATGATTTATGAACACAAATATGAGTTTTCATGCTTCAACATAGACGTGGGTTATCTGTCATCTAAAATTTAAAGAATCAAGACATGCAAATCATTATATGTGAACATTCTAAACATATAACGTTGACTGATATGATATTATGATGCAATTTTTCCATTGCTTTGAGAAGAACCCTAGGCATGAAATAATCATGAAGTAATAACCAGGTCTCACTTCTTGAAAAAAAATGAAAAAAAAAAGCTCATGCTACTACAATTAATGTGTATGTATTGTAGGAAATGCAGGATGTTATCTCTTATAATTGTCTGATATAAATGTCAGACATAAACATAGAAGCTGCATGCATTTACATGTCCAAGACACCAACTTTCGGTTGTGAGAGCTACAAATCCTAGTGCAGCATACAGAATTTTCAATGGAATCGAGCCTGAAACCAGTTTCTAATCCTTATAAATGTATAGAATGCTAGTACATGTTATAGTTGTTAGATGTTAAGGATCGCGCAATTTGGGAATACCTGTCTGATGACATAGAAAGGTTCTCTTGGGTGATATACAAGTTTGATTGGTTTGTACATCCCTTGAGATGCATCCCAAGAATTCACACTCTGCAACATTTCTTTCAGCTGAGAACTTAGTATTATGGATTGGACAGAGGAAACTTCTGTGATTACCTTCAGAGAGTCTGGACAAGGAAATACGCATATATACAGTCAGTGCTTTTGGCATTGATCCCTATGTCTGATCATTAACTTTTGCCTCATGGGCATTGCTATTTTATACGTTCTTTTATATGATAGACAATGGAAATTATGGGTAGAAAACAAGAGGTTGGGTTATTGGAATGAGTAGCCCAACCACTCTGTTTGAAAAGGAGTCATTTGAATTATAGTTTAGATCAGTTGATTTATATAACTATCTTTGAAAGGTAACATTCAGTAAGTATAAAGTTCAAATCTAAACATCTACACTCTCATATTCTATTCTTAGACAACGGCTTCTTTTATTAAAAAAAAAAAAATTGTACTAGGAGATGAAATGTTTCAGTAAAAAACTTGACAAGGAGAAGTAAATCAATGAAATTGCAATCATGGCGATGAAGGGTATTCACAAACCTTTGCCCCGTGGAATCTTGGAAAAATCAAGTCTTAGAGTAAGCTGGTATCCTTCTGTTGCAGGTTCTACAATCTCCAGAACATCAGTGGAGATTTCCCTCACCATTTGTGTGGTATATGGTGATAGCCCATATGAGAGCAATACCCCTTGGGTCAGTAGAGGTGTTGATATTGACAAGTAGGTAAGTTGTGGAGCTGATGCTGAAGACTGTTAAAAGTTAAAAAAGATGATTGTCAAGAGTGACTTCAATCATTTGTTTAGGTTCAGTAGACATTGCAAATGAGTTCAATTCTGTCATATGTGCATATGCATAAACACTGATAGAGACCTATATATATGCTTAGACATGGATATAAACTTTGACATAGACGTGCATTTGGAGGTCCGATCCTCCAAATATATGAAAAATATTAAAAAAAAAAAAAGAACATATCTATGTCGGATACATTTTCAGATCTGACACTAACCTCACAGACCATTTATCTATCATAAAATATCAGAGCCAGTTGGAAGATTAATTACCTTAATGTGGTATTCAACGGAGCCAAATTCATACAAGTGATGATCAACCTCTATGGGCTTTTCTGCACTGTAATGACAGGAACAACATTGATTATGAGAGTGGTTTCTGTTGGCAATAATGCAAATTAGATATTATGAATTGATTATTTAGAAAAAAAAATATAGGAATTTAACCATTGTCATTCTTTCTACATGGCTTAGAACTCTCTCTTGTTGATTTTCCAGGTAAGCAGATCCTATCTTTTTATCTATGCAGTCAGATATACAGAGAATAATTTATAGCAAATTGACTGATCATAGGACTACAGCTCATGAAACAACACAAGGGCAGTCAGAATTCTGAAAACAACAGGCAAAATTCCTTGCCCCCTTGCTGATGAAAAGGCAAAGGGTTAACCATGGCTTACCGGTAAATTCTGAGTAGTATCTCCTTTAAAGCTGGTGATGCTCTCTCAAAGCTTGCCATTTTGGAAAAAAAAAAACAAGAACCCAACTTTTCTCCCTGGACTGTTTCCTCAAACACTTGCACCTCAAATGTTGCATAGTTTGAACAATGGCAGCACTGAACTTAAAAATATGATGTTGAACAGAATGATTTTGTTTTGAGTGAAGTGGAAGTTCAATGTTGCAATCATAATCAGCAACCTCTTAAGCAATCACCTACTTTGCTTTACCACTAACTTATTTGTAGAGTAAGCCAAATTGATCACTTTTCAGCATCGACTTTTTCTGTAAATTTCGTCAGTTTCCATCATCAAAGTCAAATTCCTTCATCATCTTTGCAATCATAGCTATGAAAGTAGTTTTTTTTTTTTTTTTTTTCATGAAGGAAACTGCATTATGAAAATAAAACAAATAAACTGCATGTATTGAAATTTAAAATTTAAATTTATTAAATATTATTTTTTTAATAAATTAACGAAGTGAGATAAATTTTGAATTAAAAAACATTTCATTAATAAACTTATTAAATGAAGGTAGGATTTCACTTCAGATTTCCTTATGGTTTAGTTGGCAATTCCAAATATTAAGCAATGCCACTTTTTTTGGCAAACACTTGGTTTGATTAGCTTGCTAATGGAGAAAGGTAGTTCATAGGCCATATTTATTTATCTTTACTCCCAAAAGTTGGTAAAATTGCAAATCATTTATACCAAGAAAACCACAAAACAAATTTTCCTTTTTGTTTTCATTGTTAAACCAAATAATTATAGTTGACTTGTGTTTTTACTTACTTGTAATCTTGCAAACTTTACTATATGCAAAGTTTCATTGATAATTACCAAGTACCTAATTGCAGTTTCATTACCAAATCATTCTCAATGATAGTAACATTTGTTATATCAAGCAATACTATTTGAATGATCTTTATATGGACTTGAAATTTTGTTTTTAAAATTTCATAAGTGAATTTAGCATGGCGCCAAACGTTTATTATTATACAAAAAAGATCGTAGTTTAAAAATAGAGAAATAAGTTATAAATGTTAATATTTGAATATCATTATAAATGATAATGATTTGAATCGAATCGAATTCAATTTAATTTTTTAATATTACATAATATCATAAATTTTTAAAATTTGATTCGAATCCTAACAAAACTTTCATAAGATTCAATTCGAAGTGAACTGAATTTTATTGATTTGATTCGGTTCTATTTATCTATTTTTAAAATAAATTTTTTGATTTTTATATATGATTTTAATATAAAATTTTAATATATTTAAATAGATTTTGATATAAAATTATTAATTTTATTTTATAAAAATTTTAAAAAATATATAATTCATTTTGATTTATTTTTTATTTTATATTTTTTATCTAAAATCTAATTTGAATTTAATATATACAGTTAATATTTAAACTTAATTCAAACTGAATATAAAAAATGAACCGAATCCACCATTACGATTTCAAATCGATTTTTGATTTTTTTTATTTTTTTCATCTTTAAATACAACTCTTAAAAATAATTATATATTTAAATAAATTATTAATATTTTAAAATATATCATAAATGAACACTTATTAACCTTTTAATCTATTTATAAAATTAAAAAATTCACTATCAATTTATATCATAAATTAAAAATATTCTTAATCTTAAATTTTAATCATTACAATCTAATTTTTTTTACGTGACAAAATAACACCATTATTTAATTGTAACTATAGAAATTAGAAGGATCTTAGAAATTCTAGCATTAACAATAAATACTTGAAATACAGAGAATCATTGATGATCTTATCCCATTGAAGAAGTATTGAAAGCAATGTCGTGACATTTCAATTTGTGGGCGCAAAAACCATCAAATCAATTATAAATTTATTACTCTTTGCTTTGAAATTTTTGCATCTGACAGAACCAAATATAGCAGCCCTAAAGTGTTGCTTATTTGAAGATTCTTCCCTTCATTTTCAACAATTTCATTGATTTATGCTTCTTATTTATCCAAAATTCCATCAAATAATGCACTTTTAAATTAAATTAAAAAATTTTCTTATAAACAATTGAGTTATAAATTATTTAAAAATAATTAACATCAATATGATATCCTTTTTACAAGAATATAAAAAAAAATTAATATTCATTCTCGACGAAAAAATTTTGAGTTCGAGTCTTATCGGTGGTCATTTGTTGGGATCATTTTAAATGTACGACCTGCAACCATCTATCTTAAACTATCAAATATGGTATATCTTATCTTGACCTGAGAGATAGAATAATCTATCTATTTTTATTTTTTTTACAAAAAAAAAACTTAATTTATTATTGATACTTAATGAAATTCGTACACTCAAATTTTTTTTTAAGTGAGTTAAATAAATAAATATTAAAGTTAATAATAGTGTAATTTATTAATAAAATATTTAATTTTTAAAATAAAAAATCTCTATAATTTTAATATAAAAGAATAAAAATTAAAAAAATGAAAATAAATTAAAATTTAAAAAAATGTACAAATTAATAACCATCCGACACCACAAAAAAAAAAAAAAGAAATGGTATGACGAAAGTTTCATTGCACAGTCCTCAAATGTTGACACCTCACCAAACAAAGAATCTAACCGGTATGACCAAAGTTCGATAGCACTCACCTCAAACGCTGACACCTCACCCAACAAAACCGATTACGTAATTAATTTTGAGATAATATAAAAAAAAAAAACTTTCCAATTTAAATAAAAAATTGAAAATAAGTCTCCATCTTTTACTCTTGAAATTAAAATTATAAATTTTTACTATTTTATTATAATTATATTCATTAAATTTAAAAGTGAATGAAATGAAATTAAATTAAATTGTTAAAATTATTAAAATTAATTCTCTTAAAAAGTTTTTTTTAGCTACAAAATTTTTTGAAGTATGTAATTAATCTAAATAAATGTAAGTAAATTTTTTTTATAAATTATATCAATCAATTTATCTAATTAATCCAAATAAATATAAATAAAATTTTATTATAAATTATATCAATTTATTCGGCTCATACTATACTCATTGGCATCTTACCCTCCTTATCAAACCGAAAGAAAATAACGATATAAACGACCGTACATCAGCAGCCTGATCGAGGACTCCCTCATAATTTCAAATCCTGGCCGTTGATCATAAAATATTGCATGATAAAAAGAGTTTAGATTAATACGTTTCATTGTTTGTCAAATATTACTCTTTTTTTTCGCCCTTTTAAATTGTTTGTTTCATATTTTAAAAAATATTCTCATTTTTTATTATTATTTTCTATATTTTTTATAAATCAAATATATCAGTTGTTTTTGAGTTTTGTTTCTTCGTCTCTGTATTTCATTTGAGGTCAAAAGCTTTGGTTTGTTTTTCTTTTTTAAGTAGTGATTTAACTGATTTTCCATCACTTTCCCTGGAAATAAAATCTTGCTCCTTGTCCCTTACCCTGATTTGAATTCTCAAGTTTCATGGTTTTCTAATTTCTAGTTTCCCTCTTGAAAATTAAATTTCATTTTTATTGGTTTCTTCAATGGTGTAAAAAACAAAGGCTTTGACTTTCTTCTTGGGATTTTTCAGATTGAAGCATACCACTTTCTACCCATTCAAACCTAGAAAAAAATTTTGAATTTTTGGTTCAGGTTTTGATAATTCATCAGTTTTTGCTTTCTGGGTGTCTGGGAATTTTTGAAAATCACAATCTAACTCAGAGATCTCCTTATTTGTTTCAATTGTTTTCCTTGAAATTTGAGAGTTAAAAGGTTTATGAAAGTTTTCTTTTTTCACCTCGTTGGCCTAATGGGGTTTATGATTTATGATAAAAGATCCACTTTTTTAGCCAAATTATCAAATTTTGTGGCAGTGTTGTTTAAAGTTTATTGATTTGTAGATTTAAAGTTTTTTAGCAGAATTTTGTTGTGTGGGGAGGTGTAATTGTCGATGGATGCGGTCCATAATGATGTTAAGGATGTTAATCGACATAAAAACAAGACTTTAGGTACCATAGATTCTCCAAAAGTTAAAGATCACACTGATGGAGAAGATTACAGTGAGTCAAATTCTTTGTTGCCACCTAAGATAGGTGGGATGTCAAGAAAACCTGAAAAGACACTGCGAAAAGTCCAATGGAATGATAGAAATGGGAATAAACTCGCAGAGATTCTGGAGTTTGAACCAAGGTAATTGGTTTTGTCGAGTTTATCTTCTAATGTATGATGCACTTTGTTTGATGTTTGAAACTTTTGATTCTTTTGACTTGGTTTGTTGATATGTCATTTAGCTGATTTTTTTCACTAGGTGAACATTTTGTTTGAATTTATTGCCAATGCTACATTGATTAAGTGTTATGAGCATAGCTACTTTATCATTTTAAGTATGCAACAAATGTATGTACACCAGAAATTTCATATTTGGGTGAAACTAAAAAGTAGTTTATCCTCGTACACTTGTTTGTATCTGCAACTCCCTTGTTCTAATTTCATCTTTGGGTGAAACTAAAAAGTAGCTTGTCTTCAAACATGTTCTAATTTCTTGCATTGGTGAGGTGTATATCAGTCCAGCTAAATGATAATTCTAAGAATAGGACAAATAGGTACAGAACAGAAATTTTTAATGGAGCATTCAAGCCAAAAATTTTGTGATCACAGAGATGGATCGACTTAAAGCAACATTTCTTTTGTATCAAAATAACTTTGAGGGTTTGCTTTAGGGTATTTTTGCTGTATTGATCATTGATCATGTGAAGTTTTCAATTGTTTCCTATTTCTAAATCGAGGACTGTTGTAGTCGATCCTTGTAATGTGGACCTCAACAGATCTTAAGAAAAAGTTTTCAACTTTATCCTATGATTCCAAATGGCTTCTATTACAGCATGCCTTTCAGGTACTTTCATGAAGCATTAAGGATTTTTTTGCATATTTCTTCAAGGGTTTTGTTGGCATAGGCTATAGACAATACCGAAGCTATAATATTGCGAATTCCAGGGTATCGTGTTTCTATGTTCTATTTCTCTTACCTCTTGGTCTAAGCCTTGCAATGCATTGGCATCCAACTATCTAAGTATATAGTAACCCTACCAGCCATAGATTAGAGAATGCAGATCGAAGTGCTGACAGCTTAGTTTGCTGTTATTGATGCTTTGACTTAGAAGATCAAGAACTTTGCTTTAAGTACTAAGGACGATCTTCTCTGGTAACATGATTTGAATAGCTCTTGGTTACTTGAGTTGAATTGTACTGTACATTATGTGTCCACATGATACATTCCATGTAGTTTTTTTGTTTCTGTGATCAAAATAATGGCATATTTTGGATCTTTGAAAAAATGAGCACTTTATTTATTTATTTATTTTTTTGCAAGCCTAAAAAGTCACTGATATTTTTGCTTGAATATGAACAATCCTGAAGAGTTCTTTGATGTACTTTATTGTCTTTTTCCCATGTTATATGATAATATTTGTGAGAAACTAATTGAAAAGAGCCTTTGGTTTAACATATATTTGCTCAATGGATAACACTAGATTGCATGCATTCCTTATACAAGATCAAATTGAAAAAGAAAATGATTACTCATAAGAATCACACTTGACCTTGCAACATGAATTACTTGGAGTTGAATAGTTGCTTGATTCACCGTTGGACATGTCACCTCCAAAACTCCTATTTGTGCCTGCAGTGATGTGAGCGATTCTGATGCTGAGGATTCTGATTCCTGCATATGTATCATAATGTAGATAGAATACACGACACCACCAGGAATTATCTGCTGGAAAAATCAATTCCTCCTTCAGTTTCAACCATGATTTTGATGAATTTGCTACAAGATAGCCCTGGTTTCAACTCGCTGTTGGAAGGATATAAAGGTCTAAAGGCTGAGCAAGGCAGTCTCTCATACATTTGCAGTTTATCAAACTGGAGCTCCTTACCATTTCTTGAGTGGTTTCTCATGTGTTTCACTACCTATTATGTGTATTTCATTAACCATTAAGATCCCTTTTTTTGGCTTTCTCTCTATGTTTATATATACGAGTTGAACAACATTTAATAGATCACATTCCTTGATAATCATGTAAATGAAATAGTTAATACTTTTAAATCTTATTTGCATCTTCTGAGTGTTGGTGATCTCCATCACAACATTCTTGGTTGCTAGTTGCCACACTGAGGCAGAAGAGAATTTTGTCCACAATAACCATTTGCTGATAAATTAAGAGTTTGCTTCATGATGAGAAGAGACATACGATCGTGGTATACTGGGTAAGGTATTGTGCGTTGTTATTCTGGTTACTGTTTGGTCAGGTATGGGTTTGTAACTTTCATCAGAACTGCAAATGAATCCATTATATGGATTTAATAAAGTACATATATTTGAGCACTTAAAACTTCTGAATTGATCCTACCATATGTTTTTAGTTGTGAGAGAATCATTCAATACTGCAGAATGTGTAAACTATGCTTATTCTGATTGTCTTTGTTTAGAACATATACTTCCATTGAGCCCATTATTGAGCATAGTTTATCAAATATGCTGTATGATTAGTTGATGGGAACATACACTGAGACCTGCTGCACCACTTGCTGCCAGGTTGCAAGTGCTACTCACTGCAAGACTCGAAACCCACAACAAACCAGCAGAATCAACGTTTAAAGGTAGGCAGGAGCCTATATCTCCAAGAAATTAATATATGGGAATGGAAAGTTGTACTTAAAAAAATTGTTGAATTATACTGGTGTTATTTGCTCTTTCTTTCATTATGAGCAGGTTGTCTTCTGCTGCTTTTGTTTGGAACTCTCTATGTATATTTTCAGGTCAATTTTATGATAGCAACAAAAGGTGCGAAAGTGAGCAGTTTCCTTCCTTGTTTAAGTTAGAAGCTTGAAATCAAATTATTCAACTTCAACACATTGTTCAATCCTTATACAAATAGCACAGCATGAACCAATGGAGCCAATGGCTACCGAAATTAACCAAATCTTATAAAACAATCTGAAATCAATCAAAGAATCATAACTGACATACAAACAAAAACCACCCCAAACTTTTGCACACCCTTGTGAATAGGCTGAAATTGAATTCATAGCTTGTTCAGTGTACTTTCGTTATACTCTTGAAACGACTGGAGAATATGATTCATAAGGCCTCCAAGTTGGTGATATCTAAGATTACTCTATCTTCTCTACTCCGCCAAGAGAATGAGCCATCACATATACTGTTCTTCAATGACGGGGTATCAAATGCAATGCTGCAACTTTTGCTGCTACCTGTGGTTTTGGACCCATCAGTATTTGTTAGAATTAACCAGTTTGAGAGGCTAGCATCAACTGCTATGTCTTGCAGTAGGGGCTTTGACTGATTATAATTTGGTGAGCAGTCGGATCTCAGCTTTGAACTGAAGGGTATTTGTGGTTCTTCCTCAAGGGCAATATTCTCCTTCCTCCTGTTTTTAGGTGCTGGTGCTGCTCTTGCTTTGATTTCTTTCCATTTAGTAGTGTTTTCAACTGGATTCAGTACAGAACATAGATATTGGCTTCTGATCCTTGCATTTCCACACCCAAACGACTTCAATTCACCATCTGTTGAAGCAGAAAGTGGCATTTGATTCTTGGCCTTGTCCTCATCCAAATGAACCAAAGAAGCTCCCTTTGCCGATTCCATGTTTAGAGAGTCAAATTGATCCAAAGACTCCTCTCTTCTTTGTTTTTGATCATCAACATCTTTGTCACCATCATCACTATCGTCTTCATCATCATAATCATAAAAATAATCATCATCTTCTAGATCACATTCCTCAAATGCCATTTCATCATCTTCATCATAGCTTTCTCTGCAGTTTTGGTATCTATAGTTGGTAGGATAAGAACCCATCTGCAATGAATTTGAATCCCCCTCAGAGAGGGAGGGTAAGCTCCCTTTTCCTGCTTCTGCTCCATTGTTTTCACTTTCTTTCTCTTCAACACTCTGTAAAAACTGATATGTAGTTGTTTCTTCAGCTGGAATCGGTTCATAGGTCTGGACATTCAAGTTAAAGCTCACTTTTTTCCTGATTTTGATGCTCGATCTCTCCTTAGGCTTATTACTGCACTCAACAAGAAAATCTAAGTCGACATATTTTCACATAAAACTACAAAATATGAGACAATAAACCAGCAACTGACCTCAGCTGAGAACTCGAGGAAATGGGTTCTTCTGGGATGTCAAGATTTATAGAAACAGAGGAATCCAAGGGTTCATAGCTAACAAGTTTCTGCAAAAACCCCATTAAACAGAAAAAACAAAGCTATAAAAAAAATGAAGCATTCAAGCTGAAACTTTCAAGAAATGTTTTAAAAGAAACAACAAAAGCTTACTGAATCTCCAGGGAGAATACGGTTGGCCGGTTTTCTACGCTTTCTTTTAGTAGAAATCCCAAAACAGCCAAGGAAACAACCCATTAGAAAATCTATGATGAAGGCTCCACACAGACACAAATGAATGTTGGGGGTAGAGTCAGATCAGAAGGGATCCATGCTGAGAAAAAAAAAAATCAATGAACTCTCAACTTGTCTCAAGTGTTACAAAGAGCTGAAAGCTCAAAGGAAGAGAAATGAGAGGTGGGTGTTTTTAAAATCGATTTGGCTCCAACGGTTTTCGAAAAAATAAGAACGTTGGACCTTTAATGATGATAAAAGGGACCAAAGGGGAGGTGGGTGCACGAGAGTTCAGTAATAAGAGAGAAAAAACAAAAGACAAACATGACTTTGTTGTTTCTTTGGATTTGAAAATGCGGCTGTCACTTCACTTAGTGTTTGCTTCCTTCTTTTTATCTTATGTTAATTAAGTAGTTATGTTCCATTTCAGACATGGCAAGCTTGCATAAGATTTTGTTCTAATCTCAACAAAAATTTATCTTACCGACATCCTAGCATTTGGTGCATATCTTCTGTTAGTAGAGCTAATATAAAAATTATTATATCATAATTATATATAAAACATGAGATATATTTTTTATTTTTTTTATCAAACTCATTTAATTTTTTTATTAAAATTTTAAATTATATATTTTTTATTTTTTTATATATTTTTATATCATATCATATTTAAAATTATTGAATTGTTTTATAAATAAAAATAAAATCTCTTAAAAATTATTCTATGGTTTGATAAGTATGAATTTTTTTTTTGAAGTTAGATAATATAAGTTAATTTCGTCAAAAAATAAAATTTATTATTCAACGAATTCTAGTTTGATTTATATGAATTTTTTTTATTTAAGATTTAAATTTATGTGATATCAATGAATAAAAAAACCAATTCATAGTCTGAACCCACTTAATCCAAATCCGACCAATTCTATTACAACTCAGACATAGTTCCGTCAAGCCCTCCCTCATCCCAAACAATTTCAAACGCCATTTTGACCCATATCTAAATAAATAAATAAACCCAAAAAAAACAAGACCGTTAGTTCAACTTGTCTAACAGCTAATAAAGAAGGAAAAATGGGAAAGACAGAGATCCAGCTATGGAAAAGCTGTTCGTTACACAGAAGACGAGACAAAAGAAAATAAGCTCAAGGAGTACTTCAGCCAATTCAGTACTAGGAGGCACTGAGGCTTCGGTTTCATTGGTTTTTTCATACTATATATTCAATTCGTATTCTGCTGTCAAGGACAAACTTATCGTTTTTCAAACCTGTAAGCCATCGAGCCAAGTTGCTAGTAAGAAAAAGGCGTTGGTTAGATTTATGGACCGTCTAACATATATACTTTAATCGTTTCCTAAAAAAATTTTATATAAATTTTCTCTTGGGATGTGAAGAAATCAAACTAATTGTCTAGTTATTCTAATTGTAATCTGGATTCTGAAACTTTCACTAGACCTCCAGACTTTTTAACCCTTGTTTTGTTAGCTTATTGTCTGGGGTGGTGGTACATTAAAGTTTTATGCATGCTTCAATTTGAAAAAAAAAAACAGAAAATAAATATAAAAAACTTGATTTAAAAAAATTATTAATAAATGTCATTATATAATTTATTGACCATCTATACATTAATTATGCATTAAATATAAACAATATATATATATAACCAAACATAAAGAAGCCATAGGATGCTTTTATTTTCTCATAAAAAATAAACAAAAATTTATCTTTTTATGACGTTCACAAAAATAACGAAAGTTTTTATCACGTGCACCTCACATGAGATCAAATAAAAACATCCAAAATTTCAAAACAAAGCCAAGAGAGACTCTTACGGGTGGATACGACCTAACTAAGCTTCCACCCTCCCAAAATTAAATCACAACCGTCCATTCCAAAACATCCCACAATCACCACCGTCCAAACAGCATACTCTCCTACTCCTCACACTTCCTTCCCTTCTTTATTCCTCCGTAACTCTTCACCCGCAATTTCTCTCTCTCAAACCCCAAAATCGACCACAAACTGTCTCTTCTTCATCTTCTCCAAATCCCTAAAAAACCAGAAAACCCTACCAAGAAGAAGATTAAATCTAAAGTTTTTTTGTTAGATTTTGAGGAATAAAAGAGAGGAAAGAAGAAGAAGAAGAAGGAGAGGTACAAAGGGGGAATGGATTCAGATCAGGGAAAGTTGTTCATTGGAGGGATATCATGGGAAACAAACGAAGATAAGCTAAGGGAATACTTTGGCCATTACGGCGAGGTTTTACAGACTGTTGTTATGAGAGATAAGATTACGGGAAGACCTCGGGGGTTTGGATTCGTTGTCTTTTCAGATCCTTCTGTTCTTGACACTGTTCTTCAAGAAAAACACACCATCGATGGTAGACAGGTGAGATTCTTTTTGGGCTTTTTGGGTTTTATTTTTTATTTTTTAAATTTCTTGTTAATGGGTTTTCTAGGGTTATTATTACCTCTGTTTTTCCTTTTTAATGCTAATTTTATTTTAGTGGGAAAATAAATTTGGATTTTCTTTATTTTTTATGTTATTTTGATGGATATATGTTTTTGGATTATTGAGTTTTCTCTTGATTTACTATTTGATGATTCTGTGGTTCCATGTTGGGTTTTTTTTTTTTTTTATGAGTTTTGTTGTATTTTATTGTTAATTATGAATTTTATAAGTTTTATGTTATTGTTTTTCCTAAGCTTGGGAAGATACTTGGATTTTCATGATGTATGCTACATCCCTTTGGTTTCAATTTTGTAGTTAAGGTGTTGTTTGGTTAACTTAGGAACTGTTTTTGCTTTTGAATTGTGGCTGAGGTGCACGAGTGAACTTTTTGAGAGGAAACAAAAGCTAATGAGATACAATTTCTGAGTGGAATCCCAGGCAACTTTCTTGCTGGAATAACATAGTTTTACATCAGTCAATATATGTCAAGGTGACTTTCTTTTAAAAGAATGTTCTTTTAGCTGTATTATTGTTTCTGATTTGCATGAATGCTAGAGTTCATCCAAGTTTGTGAATATAGCTGTATTCTTGTTGCACTTGTCTGGTGTTTAAGATTAGTTCCCTTTTATAAGATATGATAACTGTTTCCCAGGTTGAGGCAAAGAGGGCGTTATCAAGAGAGGAGCAGCAAACTTCTGCTAGATCTGGAAATCTTAATCAGGGTAGAAACTCTGGAGGCGTTGGAAATATCAGGACCAAGAAGATTTTTGTTGGAGGGTTGCCTCCTACCTTAACTGAAGAGGGATTTCGCCAATACTTTGAGGCTTATGGTCATGTAACTGATGTGGTAATCATGTATGATCAGAATACCCAGCGGCCTCGCGGGTTTGGTTTTATCTCCTTTGACACTGAAGATGCTGTTGATAGGGTTTTGCACAAGACTTTTCATGATTTAAATGGCAAGCAAGTTGAAGTGAAGCGGGCCCTTCCCAAAGATGCCAATCCTGGTGGGGTTAGCCGAAATATGAGTGGTGGTGGTGGTGGAGGTTATCAGGGCTATGGTTCTTCTGGTGGGAATGTCAGTTCTTATGATGGTCGTATGGACTCCAATAGGTACATGCAGGCCCAGAGTACTGGAGCTGGCTTTCCACCTTATGGCTCATCAGGATATACACCTGGTTACGGTTATGGTCCTGCTAATAATGGTGTTGGTTATGGTAGTTATGGCAATTATGGTGGTGCAGGTGCTGGTTATGGTGCCCCTGCAGGTGCAGGTTATGGGAACCCGAATGCTGGTTATGCAACTGGGCCTCCTGCTACCCCTAGAAGTTCATGGGGTACTCAAACTCCATCTGGTTATGGTGCTATGGGTTATGGGAATGCTGCTCCTTGGGGTGCCCCAAGTGCTGGTGCTGGTAGCGGTGGCCCAGGTTCAGCAGCTACCGGCCAATCTCCCACTGGAGCTGCTGGGTACGGGAGTCAAGGTTATGGATATGGTGGATATGGTGGAAATGATGGATCTTATGGGAATGCTGGGTATGGGACTGTTGGAGTTCGTTCTGGTGGTACTCCAAATAGTAATGCTGGTGCTGGTGGGGGAGATCTACAAGGGAGCGGCGGTGGTTACATGGGAAGTGGATATGGTGATGCAAATGGAAGTTCAGGGTATGGAAATGCATCTTGGAGGTCCGATTCATCACAAGGTTCTGGAAATTATGGGGGCACTCAGGCAAATGTTCCTCATGGTGGACAAGGTGGTTACAGTGGTGGGTACGGTGGTGCTCAGGGTCGACAAGCGCAACAACAGTGATTCAATCACTTGAAAGACAACTTGATCTCAGCCTCTTCAGTGCCTAACCTTCTCTTTGCTGTTGTGGTTGTGATGGTTTCTTATTTCCAGCAGCAAGAGGAGAGGCTCAAGTTGGATGTCAAATCACCTTGGGACCGGTTGGATTGCTTGAATCTCAGTAGTTTGCAGTATCTATTTTGCTAGTCATAATAAGTAGTTTTGAGGCATAATAGATGCCTTTCTTTAGTTTTGCTATTGAGTGTAGTTTAAATTTGGCTTGCATTATATTTGTTTACTTGCTGCTTCAGTACCTTTCTTATTTATGGTAGTGTTTAAGCTTTATTAGTTTATATAACTTCTATTTGTGTTGTCTAGCTGTTTTGAGTATTTTTTTTGTTATTTATATCATCTAGGAAAATTTGATGATAGGTAATTATGCTTGATTTGATATGATGAGTAGGGTACGGAGGTGTACCAGGGATTTTTACTGATAACAGTGGAGCTATGGGCCACTTGGGTTGATCACTTCGTTATGGTAGCGATAAACGTAGTGGTAGTTGACACTTGAGGATGGTATAATCATTTTCCCCCTGTATTTGCCCTTGTGTTGTACAGGAGAGATGCTTGAGAGTTCAAAGGTGGAATCAAGTATCCACTCATGGCTGAACCTGAGCTTCGTGGTGGGGGGTTGTTCAGTTTGGGGTTTGTTCAGCGCAGGACTTGCTCAGTTGAAATTTTGAATTAACATGAGATGACATAGGCCCTTCCTCATCCAGGTGCTGCAAACACTGCAAATTCTTGGCTTTTGAAGTAAACAAGTTTCCTGATCTTCATTCGGGTTTCTGTGGTGGTTTTTCAAGATGGAATTGAATTTGTGAAGTAAAACATTCTTGGGGTATGTTGACCCAAAGCTGTTAGCTGTCTAGCAGATCAAGATTAATTATTCCCTAATTATTGAGTGTGCCTTTTGATTCTTCAGAGTAGATCTTACAATATGATTTCTGGTTATTAGAGCACTAGAAAAGTATGACCTTAAAGTTCCCGTTAGTTTTGGTATGAATTATTTGAGTTTTGCCAAACATTTAATTCTGGGGCCTTTCGACCCGTTTAAAGGCAGTAGGTAAATTATTCCGAATGGTGTTGGTTACCTAACATTATTCATAATTACTCATTATTCTTCCCCTGCATCATGAGTCAAGACCACAAAACATTTTCCTCTATACATTTTAGGTGACAAACTAATAATTCAGTGGAAAAAAAGGGGGGGGGGGGTTAGTAAGAGTGAGTGTCAGCCTAGGCAGTTGAATTGAGTTTTGGATGGTGTAAGGAGTTAGGGTTGATGCTGCAATCATTCATTTTCGGGATTACAATGCTGAAAGCATTTGCTAGCAAGGATTTTAGACGTCTGGCTTTATGTCGATGGGAGTAAGGGTTCAACTGTTGTTAATCACTAGAAATGACTTGGTGACTGAATGGCAGCATATTGGGATAGAAACTCAGCCTCTATAATCAATGGAGGCAGGCAGTGTTAGAACTGGAAAATCTCAGGTGTTGAAAGGTAATTACAATTTATTTAAGCTATCAGCTAATTAGGATAATCAAATGTTCTTATTACAATGGGAATCGTAAAAGCTGATAGTAGGTAAATAACTGGCAATGGATGATGCAGCAATGGTACATAGCAACAGTTTGGCACCTTGCTTGAAGTATGCTGAAGGAAAACCTTGGTATCGGTGGTCAAGTGCAGCGAAATTGCCAGGGCGTCTGAATACAACCTATAATCATTTCTTTTTCTCGAACTTTTCATTGAATGCCAAAGCCAGAATTTTACTGAAAGCCAAAAACCAAAAAGAATGCATTAACATAAAAAATCTGAATCCCTAATTCTCAATATGAAATCATATATGTTTGGAGGAAAGAGTCCTTCATTCATGCGCTTAGAGATAGTCCCAAGTCGAAACAGAGGCGTGGTCCAATCAAGTGTGGCTTTCTTAGCAGCATGCAATGAAGACGATAACTTGGATGACTGATTCAAAGGATTACAAATGTAAAAGACCGATGCCCGTTTCAACTTTAACTAGTAATCATATGGGCCATATGAGCATTAAGGAATGCAGAATTGCAAGAAGAGAGCTCAAAGAACCCAGACACAGGCAAGATATGCTAAAAGGAGTCCCTTGATGAATTCCAACGAGCACAAAGTTAAACACGAGACTCGAATAACAACAAATGGAAGCCACCAGCACCTGGTATAATTAAAATTAATTTTAATGGAGCTCTTGATATTTAAACAAAAACTGGAGGAATCGGTAGGCATTGTTGCTCAAAATAGAGAGGGCGGAGCAGAGTAGAGGGAGCTCTAGTGTTTAAAATGAAAGAGGTCGGATATAATTTTATAGACCTTTTAAATTTTAGACATGATTGTTTACCGAAAAAAGAACAGCTCATTTCGTGTGCTAATTAAAATAATTTTAATGTAGTAAAAGGGGGACATCTTCATGGCGGTGCCAATTCCACCCCCCCCCCCCCCCCCCCCCCGCCTCTAATCCAGTCAATTCCAGCAGCAATATAAGGCAAAAAGGTGGGGGAAGGGAAGGCAGTTAGGCTTGGCTATGGCTATGTTTGAGGTTTCCTTTTTTTTTTTTTTTTACAGAGATCGCAACCTAAGATTAAAGAAAAAGTTACATGTGTTGGAATTTATTAGATTTCAATGCATAAGAAGCCACAGCTAGACTTTAATTCAATTGGTGTAATGCTCTGATCCACGTAGGACATTTATGGAATTCGATATATATATAAATTCATCCAGTTTCATGTTTTGTTCTGTTTCTTTTCCGGACAAAGTTTCTAGAAAACGGGAACTACATTCATCAAAACAGGTATATACCAGCCATGATTTTTGTTTTTTATGTGTTTTTTTTTTTTTTTTTTGAACGATATTAAACTTGTAGTGATCAGTTTCTACAAACTTAATGCATGGTTACCAACACTGATTGAGCCACATAACATTGTGATTCACTTTAAATGGTACAATATCTACTCTTAGTAGAAAAGAATTAAGACGCAGAAGGAAACCCTTTGTATGGGTTGCCCAGTGCAGCCACATTTCCAGGGCGTGAAAATACAACCTACAAAATGTGAGGAAATCTCCATCATTTAATATTTCTGATGATATTAGATGGCATGTCAAGGCATAATTTCCAATAAATGAATGGTTTCAAACAGTTTATGAGATGATGGTCTGAGTAGAAAATGCATTTGCCAGTACCAGAAACTCACCTGGTAATTTCCAAGAGTATTTGACTTGAAACCAGCTGCGCAATAATCAAAATAGTATTCCCAGGTTCGAATGAACTTCTCGTTGAAACCCAAGGCAAGGATTTTGCTAAGAACAACAGAATCAAAATGCAAATTATCATAAAAGTTTCTAAAAATCATGTTTATATAAGTCTTTCCATGAGAGATAGAGAGATGTAACGTCATACCTCTGCTTCTCCAAGAAATTCTTTCTCCAATATCTAAGTGTTTGGTAGTAATGAAGTCCTATGTTTTCCACATGCTCCACACTATAATTTTACAACTTTCTTTAGTTTTCTGGATAACAAAAAGTGTATAACAAAAACAAGAATTGCATGGCTATGTACATAAATTTTACTGAAAGAATAATGCATTATACCAGAGTCTGGATGCAGAATTCATGGCTGATGTTATCCTAGCCAATGAAGGTAGGCATCCACCACGGAAGATGTATTCCTTGATAAAATCTGAACTTTGCCTGTATTCGTCATAGCGTTCTTCTGGTATTGATATGAACTGCAGGAACATGTACCACCCCAAGCATTGGCAGAAAGTGTTTAAAAACAAAATAAATGTACTAGTAATTTTTGGATAAATGCTGAAAATGCAAGGCACAAATTCTTTTGTTTCTACTCAATGCAATACCTGTAAAACAAGAAGTCCATCTTCTGCCAGCACAGATTCACAGCAACCGAAGAATTCTTCCATGTATTCATGGCCAACATTTTCTATCATCTCACTGGAGAAGGCCACATAAAATTATGGTCTTTGCTTTGGTAAATGGTAAAAATTAGTGTCAAAAGACCTTACCAAGATATTATTCTATCATACTTGTTGGTGCTAGGTAGTTGTCGATAGTCACAGAGTTGGAATCTTATATTGCCCTGACAGTAAAGTTAAAAATTCAGAATTTGAATCAAAGAAAGCTAATTTTCAAAATTAATTCTAGAAAATACAGAGATTCTGATGGCTAAGAACCCTTGAAGCTCATCAGATGCAATAGCCACTGCCATCCATAACTCAAAATGGTCCTAAAGCTGATACTCAAAAAATCATAGTCAGACAATACAATGTATGCTACTAGATAAAAAAAAAATGAAATTTGATTAATTTAGTAAGCAAAACAACTATGCTACAAAGAAAACAAGTCTGCATGTGTTCTTGGCCTTCTCTACAATGCGAGGTAATTTGCAGCTTATCATTTTCAGAATAATTTGCATAAAAAGACAGCTTATCTTTTTGACAATAGTTTGCAGCTTATCAGATAGATACCTGAAGTCCAGCTTCCTTCACTCTCTTTTCTGCAAATTTTAGTTGCTCCTCGGATAAAGTGATGCCAGTATATTTGCATCCAGTTTGTTTGACAACCTCAATAGCTAAGCTTCCCCAACCACATCCAATCTCAAGAATTTCATGGTTACTATCAATTCTAGCCTGGAATATTGAAAAGGAAAATTTTAATAAAGGATATGGTATGGTTAGAAAGTCCAAAATGTGATGATATAATTATTACTGACAGGACTTACTTTTTCAATCAGAAGTGAGATCTTTCTCTGTTGTGCATCTTTCAAATCTTCATCTTCTGTCTATGAAACATATAAAATAGTTACCAAGAGTTTTGTCTTATTAAGTAAATAATTACACAAAATGCAAAGTAAGAAACGTTTTTTTATGGTTAATGATAGTGAGTCTAACCTTAAACACTGCACAGGAGTATGTCATTGTTTCATCCAAGAATAGAGCAAAAAGGTCATTACTCTAGGAAGACAAACCAGATAACAATGTCAGCATTTGGTATGTCTTAATAAGTCGTAAATTATCATAAAAAAAAAAGGAAAATAAAGAAACTAGAACACTTGCTTAATTATTTCACTCAGCCCCAGAGATAACTTTTCATATACATATGTACCGAGCATGACATGTTAGCACAGCCTTAGTGTTTCACACTACACATACTAAATAACTATAATATAGATGTTTACTGCTTTTGGTGTTTCATTTCTGAACTTGTACAAAGACTTTTGTAGCAATAGGGAATTTAATAGTAATAACTTCATACCAAGTCGTAATGACGAGAAATGTTCCTTCGAGCTTGTGTAAGAGTATTGTGCCTTAAGACATGCTTGAAGAAATACTTTGCTGATGTTAAACCAGCTGTAAACAACAAAGGTGTCCACCAACCCCTAAACCAAAAGTGTTCGATACTAAATCAACTGGGATTTAGAAGAAGAATATGCAGATGCTATATTATTGTGTTTTACAATTAACGGTATACCTTTTCTTACTCAGTATTGAGTTGGAAGAAATCAAATCTCTGTTGGCGATGAGAATCTGCAGTTAACAACACAATTTTGTGAAAGTAAAGACCACTAGGTATAACGCATTGCTATTATTGTTTCAATTTTCTTACCATGACAAGATTTAAAAGACCATCATTTTTATCAACAAAAGAAAAATCTCCATTGATATATGCATCTGCAAGGCCTAAATCTGCCTCAGTCATAACCTGACAAAGCAATTTTAGTGCAGTTCAATTGCTGAAATATTGTGCATAATGAAACCATGTCATTAGATTTTGTCAAATATATTAGATAGTTTGACATAATAATGTCTAATCATTCCATGTTATTTTCCATGAATGATTGGTTCCAAAAGTATTTACCTTCCAGTAAAATTGTGGATTGTGAACCTTAATAACAGTTTTTAGAGAACATTTTTTGCTAGTTCCCTCAAAGGTAAACATTGTGCCACCTTCCTCCAATAAACTGTTCATAGAAAAAGTACAAGATATTAGTTACAATTATAAACTCACAAATTGGAGAAGTCCAAGAGCTGTTGCATTTATTCAAATAAAATACAGAAGTCTAAACATAGATAGCTTGTTGATATTGAATGAAGAGATGTGAACAAGTTATCCAGTTCAAACCATGCTCATTGAATTTATTCATGCAGGCTGACACCAAAAAAATCATAAGGATAAACAGGATAAATGCCTCCTAAGTAGCACGAAATGAATATTTTATGCAATGGACGTTACAGCTTCAGATGAAACAACTAGCAGTGTTAGTAGCATATAGTTTTCTATGGATTTTAAATGTAGAAGCTATTGTAACACAGCAAATATTGCATATATTGAATTTGGACAATAGATGAAGCATCTCGCCCTCCAGGATTGACCAACAAAGCACGGAATGATCTTATCATTCAACAAGTATACATACATTAGAACAGATAATAACCAGCATAAGTGAAAAGAACAAGTGCATAAGACCTTTTAAGAACTCACATCACACAGCCAGTTGATATAAAATGACTGAGGAATCTAGTAACAAATAGGCGTGCCCCTGTTTCCACCAGAGAAGGTACCATATGTTTTGGATTGCTCAGAATGGAACAACTTTTTCCCAGCACACCATTTGCAGCAACCAAACCAGCCTGGAAAGAAGTGAACCTTACTTGTGAACTACATTATAATAAACAAATTCTTTTGAAAAAGTAAAAACCTTAGTGAAAAATATATTAGGAAAACATTTTAATCATATTGAATATAAGCATGTAGTAGTTTGATAACATGGCAAGATAAGAAATAGTACCTTTAATCCGTCTTCATGGAAGCCATAGCCTGAAAGAAAAGTGACATAAGTTACAATGATGAATTACTGAAAGGGAAGATTCTTAGCCTCAGCCAAATGATTATACAGAAAAGTCAATGCACAGAAAATATATATGGCATTGTAAAACAAAATGGTTATCACATACATTTTTTGAATAAAACATGCATCAAATCACCATATGATATTTCTCAAAGAAAAAAAAAACTATGAAAAAGTATGATTATAATAAATTTTTCTGATTTTCCTGGATGCCAGGCAATCAGCAAATTAAAAGACCATGCACTGCTAACTGCTAACTTCTAACAAGGATACTTTAGTTACAATGTACACCTTGCAGAAAAATAATTATCCATATTCAAATTTAGTTAAGCTCGGATGTATACTCTGTATAAAATACTGATGAAAAGGAAGTATGAAAAATGAAATGCGATTAACAAAACAAAGACAGCCCATGGAGGCTCTTTTATAACCGAATCTGCTCACCCTGGTATGCTCCACAAAACCAAATTCCTCTCTTTCCTTGAATCTGATCAAGCTCAAGTGAAGCTTTTGTTGCAGCAACAGATGGTACTGGATGGCCTGTTCTCCACTTAAGTAAGGTATGCTGTGGCTTATAATCTGGATTGAGAGTTACAAGAAAGGGTAGGCTTGTTTCTCCAAGATTCTGCACGTTCATACATTGAGACAATCTTAGACTATTTAAGCAGTATAGGAGTACTTAATTTCCTTTACGGACTACCGATTACTGATAACATTACTGATAACTTTTTTCTCATATTAATTTTGGTTTCCCTTCCTTTTTTAGAGAAATATATTTTCTAACTGCCAGTGTAAAGTTAATTAGGTTAGAAACCAATTTCAAGAAGTAATCCAACTTCCTATACCTTAACATCATCATTAGTTGGTGGAAGCTCCAAAAACAGTCCCAGTATAATACAAGCAACACAGTTTGAATTATGAATACTTAACATGCAGGGCAAAAGCACTTAAGTGTTACTCAACATTACATAATTCCTTTTGCAAACCGATAGCTTCAGGCCATGAACAAGTCTTTAAGCAAAGAGAACATAGTACCTACCTGAAGCACATTGAGCCAGTATGTCAAACATACTTTCTTGTCTGTACTTCCAAGAAAATTCCATGCACTCCATGCTGCTGGGTTTTTGGGCATTAAATTTTTGTCATGATGAAGAAAAATATCACTGCCAACAGAGAATCACAAAAGATCGTACAAAAGTGACTTGAGTAACCATAGTAGACAAGAGGTACATCAATTTTTAATAGCTCACATCTCAGAACCATAGGAGATGCATGATGAAAAGAAGGGAACAAAAAAGGAAGTGATTATCTATCAAATAGTTTTACATAGTTATTTCTTTCATTTGGTGAACTTGTTCATTGACAAGTTGACATCTAAAATGGTGAAATTTAAAAGGTCAACATAATTATTTTTTTTAGAAAAAAAAAAGGTGGAAATATTTAATAGAAGCAAAGAACTCTTCCATTGTATCAACAACAGATTTCTGTAAATGGTTTCAGACAATAATTGCATAAAATTTCAGTTTCAGTGATATTCTGTATTTAATACATAGTATAGCAACATTATAGTTTTCACAACTTGGAGAATATATATTATTAATCTATCAGAGTGATGCATTGCAGAAGCCACCGTACCTATACACATATTGGAAAGCACCAAGAACTCTCGATTCGTCAAATGTTGCTTGGTTTCCTAACAATCTCAAAGCATCTGGTGCATGAATAGCCATTATGCAACCATCGTGTGATTCTTGAGAGTCATCTCCACATAATACAGTGCAACCTGTAAAAAACCTTTACATTACCAGGGGAACCACAAAAGTTTCTGAAATGAGAAAACTCAATATAAATGCCATATCCACCATATTTGAACAGTTTTAAGAAATAGTTACTTCAGTTGACTGTATAACAGAAACCAAGTTACTCTTTATCATATATGAATAGGCTTCGATTAAAAATGTTTGTTTCAAATAACCATTCACCTAAGATATGACTCATTTTAGAGAGTAAGAATGTAGGAATGAACCATGTAGAAGTTTCCGAAAAACAGTTTTTGACTGGTTTGAAATCGGGGATAGAAGTCAGATAAGAAAAATACCATCACAAAGTCCTAGGTAGTTTTTAATTTTTTTCTCCCTTCAGGCTTTACTTGACAAAAATCCAAATTCCATCAATTTTAGCTGTTCATTTTATTTCATTTCAAGTTTTAAATCTTTAATGCTTGATTAGATCCTCTAAGCACAGACCATCACATGAAATTGTATCAAAAGGAAAGGTAATTAATCCAATGAAATACAAGACCATGTTGCTATGGTCATTTTATAAGTATGTTATCAATAAACTTTTGAGAGAATCTCTATCCAGCTCTGTTGCATAAATCTTGAATGTATCCCAAGCAAATGCTCGAGCAAAACACCGTTTTAAATACGCACCTTGAGCATCACTCAAAACAGAATGCACCTCACAACCAGTTCTTATTTCACAACCTCTACTCTCCAGCTCTTCTCTGACCTGATAACATTTTGCCAACAAGCAAACAGCAAAATAACATGCTTAGAGCTCACATCTAATGCATCTGACAATGAATTTAGAAACTAGACAAATGATGAAAGCGGTAGATATGGTGCAATCTAGGAAGAGGAAATGGAAAGGCAAACTAGTACCTTATTGACATAGCGATGTGAACGCCATCTAACAGTCATCCACTGCGGCCGTCCAAAGAGCTATAAAGATAACCAAAGTAATATTATCAATTCCAAAGTGACACAAAAAGCTCTAGTATCATAAAAACCAATATCACGTAGAGAGGAAATTACTCATAAAGACCATGACAGATTCTCACAAATACTTAATATAATACTTTGTTTGCAAGAGAATGTACCTGAAGTAGATGATGGTTACAGCAAAATGAAAGAATAGAGAAAGCTGAAAAATCCATAACTCTTTCTGTAGGGCAGGACCATATTGAACCACATATTGGTACCTACAGAACTACAACATTGTCATTGCTATTTGCTACTAAGGCGACTTTTTGTCAAATAAATAGATTTCAACATAAAGAAAAACGTATCACAAAATGTAGACACCCTCTGATCTCACCAGATAAGCCTTCTGAAATAATTCGGAGTAATCCCGTGACTCGACGAACTGTCCCAATGTTTCATTGCGATCAACATCTGGGTTGTTTTCAAGCACTTCAAGATAACTACACCAAAGTAAATGATATGAAAATCGAAAGTGAAGATGATCTAATATAACAAGTTAAGATTCCATAATAAATAACACTAATGGAAGGTGTCTTGCCGTTGCTCACCTAATAACATCATTCTTGAACTTGATAATTTCTCTAAGCATTTGCCAAAAGTATGGATTCAAGACATTTATTTTCTGTGCAAACAAGCTTGACAAACCATTTCGGCTGCCCCATTCACAGCCTTTGCCTTCATCCAGGCTTACTGAGAATGACATATCAGATGGCTCCATATCAACTCCAAGACTCTCAAAGAACTCCATCATATTTGGATATGTTACCTGCCAAAGATAATGTCAGCTCATTAAAACACATTGCATAGAGCCATAGACATCCACAAGTAACTATGAAACAATATCTTAACAAAGAAAAAAGTTTTCACTATATATTCCTATAACAAAGCTCCAACATCAGTTTTTTGACATGACAAAAGGCCTAGAATCAAATATTATTGATCAAATCTCTTACTTGTTTGAGTCATCTAGAAGCCATGCCAATGAAAAAAGGCTAAATTTCTTGCAACCATAGCTGATTGCAGGTCATACCCCTTTAAATTCCATCACATTAAATCCATAAGCACTCTTCCCATTAAAATGGGTTAGATGAACATGAAGCTGGAGGCATAATGTCTATCAACTATTGTTTGTTAAGACTAATATTCAACATGTATTAAACCCTAACTATATATTTTAAATCTTGATAAAGGGCAAAGGAAATATTTTCTTAATATCAAATAACCACCAAGATGAATGCGATTTTTTTAAAGAAGGCCACAATCCGGAAATACTGAAAAAAGGTTGCATGGTTGCATTGTTGTGATTTGACTGAAAGCTATTTTTTTAAAGAGATAGCATGAATCAACTAAAATTGAATGTCGACCTCACTTGGACAAACACAACGGTCTCAAAAGATCTCCATTTTTGTAAATAACCATTATGTTACAGCAATATTATCTCTAGAAATTAAGAAAAGCTATAAGCCTAAGCCAATCCAAAATCCCACACCTCATACTATCTAAATTCTGTAAATTTTTTTTCTTCACAAGAAAGAAAACAAAATCAAATTTTGTATCAACCCTATATAAATATTCTGTTATATATTACAAATTGTTAATATGATAATTTTAAAACTAAAATTTCCAAGCTAACCATATGAACATTCAAATTGATTTGGGACACATTAATCTATAATTTTGCCAATAAAGTACCTAACAAAAAGACTAAGAAAAGAGGCAAGACTCACCCCAAAATCTTACTTTAGTGGTCCAACAAAATGTCATGGGCTTCAATACTTGGCATTTGCCATGGTGGCAGATCCTAATGTTGCCAACCCAAAACATCCACAAACTAGCATTCTAAATCCAACGAGAAACTGGCTATTCTCCCTCTAGTCTTGTCCCTTTTCTTTCCCTTTTCCTAAATTTCCAACCCCAATTTATACTTGTTTCAATTCCAGTATTTTTTATGTCAATTTGTATTAAAATTCTGTTAGTGTTGCCTTTATTAGTATACCAATAGTCAATCCATCAAAGCTAAGACAATTTTTCATATAAATAAATTCTAATAATCAAACATAATTAGAGCTGACAAAATTTATTTGAATCCAAAAATTTTGTTCAATCCATTCTAAACTCAAAATTAATTTAAATTCAAAATATACAATTTAGACTAATTTAAAATAATCCAAAATTAAATTAATTTGACTTTAAAACTTAAATTTCTGAATGCAAAGTGATTCAATCTTGATAATTCAAACTCAAATAATAGGAGTGTCAAACTCCAAAATTTCAAATCCAAAAAAATTCGAAGTGAAAATAATCTAATTTAGATTTTCTTCAACAAAATAACTCAGCTTGAAGTGATCTGATCCAGATTAAATTAATCTGGGCCGTCTTGACCCACCCAATCGTGTTACATTTCGGTTTTCCCATTTTCAAACTTATATAATCTCTTACGTTTTGTGTAGACCTCGATATATGTTCCCTAGTTGCTATTCTACTGCCCTCAATCCCTTGCAGATGTGATGTGTTTCACTTCGCACTGACGCCATTAATTGTGTTTGCGTGAAGCTCGAGAGCCAACAAATGCAGGAATAGCTCCTCTGATGATTCATGCAGAGTTGGTTTATGATTCGCTGCCCTAGGTAAGGCTAAGGGTGCTTTCGGCTTTCAATATAGAAATAGCAAGCAACTATCAGAAAATCAGCAATAATCGTGTTTCCATCTTTCCTTTCCTACCAAAAATCCCAGAAACGTACTAAATTCAAGAAAGCATAGCCTCCCGAGAACGAAAATAATAATAATAAAAATAAAATCATCCTATTAATTGTCATTTTAAACTCACAAGATTAATAGAATGAGAAATACCTTTCAAAAATTAAAATAAAACGATAATCGTTTATTCCTATTTATAAAATTAAAAAATTACACCATCAATATACTAAAAATGAAATGTTTAGCCGCCAATAATAATAGAGCAATTAAACATAAACAAATAAATTTTAAAAAAAGTTCGAAAATAGATCAAAAGAAAAAATTTAGGCAAAATTTTTTAAATAAAATTAATGAAAGTTTTTATTAAAAATGATTAAATAAAAATTAATATTAATATTAAAATATCTTGTTACATAAATTTTACAATTTAGGTATTTTAAAAAATTTTGAAATTAATCAAACTTCGATATATTTTTAATAAATATTTTTGATAAAAATATTAACAAAAATTGATCAAATTTAAATTATAAATAATATTTTTAATAATTTTTTGTATATTATTATTTTAATATTAAATTATTTTAAATTTATTATTAAAATTTTTATTAAATTATTTTTAAAAAAACTTAATAAAGTTTACAGGGGCAAAAGTAGTCCTCATAAAAATACCTAATTTTCTTATTTTTTGGGCAAAATATTATTTTATTTGAAGTTGTCAAACATTAAATTTAAGGACTGTAAAGTATGTGATCAATATTATCAGAAAAATTATCACATTTGATCAGAAAATTATCCCACGTGATGGAATATTTCTAAAAAAATATAGGAGATACTTTCAGGAGTGCGTTTTAAGTTTGTGGTTATATCGGTACTTGTGTTTGTTTTGGAATTTGGAAGTTGGAATTTGCGGTTGAAGTCTTGTATTAAAATTGCTGTTTGCTTGTTCTATTCAATTGTTAAGAGAAGGAAAAATCAGCACAAAATTAAGTGATTACAGAGGAAAAGAAATTGAGAAACTTACACGATTGAAGACCATGAAACCAAGGTCTAAGTCAACAGCTTCAAAGTTAACAGTCTTGGCATGGCCACCCAAGTGATTTTCCTTCTCATAAAGCACCACATTCACACCTGCCTTGGCAAGAACATAAGCTGATACCAAGCCACTAATCCCACCTCCAATCACTGCTATCTTCATCTTTCACTGCCTGCATTGATTTTAAGTTGGAAAAAGCTCAAGACAATGCAAGTTTGTAATGATGGAAAACTTCATTTTCATTGTGAAGTTAAATATTTTAGGACCCCAAAATTTTTGTTGAAAAACCAACCAAAAACACTGATTTTTTTCCCTTTTTTTGGGTAAATAATGCTGTCATTTTTAGACCTTTTGGCCTTAAAAAATCTAGTTCTACATAATCTTGAATGGCTAAAGCCATTTCTTGGGAATGTTCAGAGTGATTTTATGCTGAACTAGGAAATGTGGGTAACAATGTTTGAGAGAGTGTGAGAGACAGAAACAGAAAATCAAGATAATGCTGAAGTTACCTGAAAGGTTCAAAGTTTTGAAAGATCCCAAGAGGGGTCACTGCAACTTCAAAACTGGAGAAATTGAACAATTTGAAACAAAAGAAATTTACTGTTTTTTCGTGTGTTTCTCCGATTAGATGAAAAGATATTAAAATGCAAGATTTATGGAATAGAAAGAGAGGAAGAAGACAGAAGAACATGCAAAAGAAACATAAAATAAAAGGCAGATGGCAGAAACCCACAACTCTATCCCCAGACTGAAAACTCTCAAGCTAAACAATTGTTGCCGGTTGCACTTGATAAGCTAAATAAAATGTCGATTGGAAATGTGGGCTCCATTTTCTTCAGTAGGAAATGGCTTTTGAAATTAATTTTTGTATATTTTTATATTTATTTGATAAAAAATTAAATGATGAACGAAAAATGATTTATTAATAAAAAAAATGAGATTTTTTTAAAAAATTATTTTTTCCTTTTCATTAATTTTTGAATTTTTTATATTTATTTGATAAAAAAATAATTGATGAAGGAAAAATGATTTATTAATTAACAAAAAATGAGATTGTTTTTTAAAATTATCTTTTCTATTTTAAAAGAGAAAAAAAAATTTCAAAAAAAATTATATATGAATAGAATTATTTATTAACAGTAAAAAATTTACTCAACGATTTCAATTAGTTTCTTATTTATATATACAAGCAAGTAAAAATTAATTTTTTTACCAAAGCAAATAAAAAGTAATAAACAATTTAAGATTTATTTCAATTAATTTATGCAATAAGATAATAATTATTAAATTTAAAATTTATCATTTTTTAATATTTATATTATAATTTTTGTATAAAAATAAAAATATAATTAAACCGTATGAATAATTTCTTCTTAATTTTCTTAAGTGAAATGGAAACTTTTTTTTAATTTTTTCTGTAAATTTTTGCATTTTAGAGTCATTGAATTAAATGAATTGAGTAAAAGAATAGTTAAAGGGTCATAGTCAAAGACCCATTTGAGAAACATGGGCAAATGGGATAGTTGGATTAGTGATTTGCTCTTTAAGATGGTTGAAAATTGACCATGGAATTTTTTATTTTGTTTACTTTGCTTATTGGATGCAGAAAGAGAAATTTTATAAATATACATATATATATATATTTATATATATTCCACCAATGTGTTTTTTTTTTTTTTTTTCATTGTATCGGAGCAAGAGAGTGGTCAGTATGATGGACAATGATGGGCAATGTTATAATCGATAATATGAAACACGTTACACAGTGATATCTTATAAATATGGCAATCAAATTTTATTATTACGAATAATTAAATAAAATATTAATTTTGAATTTTATAAATAAAAAAATAAATATTAAAAGAGTTTATCTTTTATAAAATTTAATTTGATTTTAAATTAATTAAAATTTAAAATAATTATCAAATATTATAATTTAAATTTTAATAATAATTATATATAAATTTAATAAAATTAAAAAAATAAATTTTATATTTTTATATTAATATAAATTCTAATATATAATTTTTATATAAAATATATTATAAATATAAAAATTTTATTATTTTACATAATATAAATACATAAATCATTAATTCCAATAAATTGACAGCAACCAATTAAGACCTTTGGGATGCGTAACAGAGCGTTGGAGTCCACATGTTTTGCTTGCTCATTTGCAGCTCTTGTCGTGTCTACGTGGTTCCGTGGACACCGCTATAAAAATTATTAAATTCAAAAGTCACTTTTGCATCGACCGTGCACTTTTCTTTTTATAAAGAATTTTCAAGCACTTGTGCGCACTTCGAAAGTTTCATCGGTTGTCGCTATTTTGTAAAAAATAATTTTTTAAAAATAATTTGTCAAAAATATTTATTTTTTTGAATTAAAATTTTTTTTATTATTTGAATGAGTTAATAAAAATATTTTTTTGTTATTTGATTATTTTAAAAAAAATTTATTTTTTTCAAATAATATTAATATAATTATTAAAATATTAAAAATTATTTATTATTAAAATATGTTGAAATTATTTATTATTAAAATTATTAATATTCAAAAATAATTATATTTTAATAATAATAGTTAATATTAAAATATTATTTTAATATAAAAATACTTAAAATAAAACTATTTATTATTCTTTATATTATTTGTTAATATATTAATATATTATTTATTAATAATATTTATTAATATATTATATTAATAGTATATTATTTTATTAATAATATATTATTTATTCATATATTATTATAATATTTATTAATTAAATTAATAATATTTATTATTATATTATTTGTTAATATAATATTATTTATTAATACTATAATATTATTTATTAATATTATTACACTCTAACACCAAGCCACAACAGGTTATATTATTTTAAAGTAAAACTCAAAAGTAATATGAAACATTTTTTTTAATCATTTTAAATTTCTTTAATAAAATAATCTATTAAGTAAAATATATATTTAATTCAACAATAATACATTTTTATATATTCAAATACAAACTATATAAAATATAAAACCAATAATAATATCTCATAGGCCAACATTATCTTTGATGACTAAATAATTTTTTTTATTTTGATCTTCTGACTTTTCATAAGACTAACTAAACTTATTATTTACTCATATGTAAGGAGAAAAAAAAAAAAAGAATGAGTAAACCATAGCTTAACAAGTATAGGTTCACACACCTTACTGGATCAAGTATCGTTTTCATACATATCATATAAAATCATTCAAAATATTCATCAAATTATAATGTTAAAATATTTTAAAGATCATCATTTTGACAAATATTTCACAAATTCATAAATCAATATCAAAACATGTCAATTTATAAATTATTATAAAATATGTTACTATTCAAATATCGTAATCAAACTAAATTATGGATCAATCATTAAAAATCATCATAAATTATCATCATCTTAAATCATCATTATTATTTGTTTATTGTTAGTTACTGTCACTATTATAACTCGTGACATTGGCTATATCAACAATTTTATTATCATGATTATTGTTAACTATTATAACTCGCTAGTTGAGGCCTAATGCTAACAATTATAACCCATTAATAGGACCGTATGATCATAGCTATGCTAATTATTATAACTTGTTAGTCAATGTAGTAGAACTAGTTCTAGTGTCAATGATCTCATTTTCTAATGATACGTAACTATCATAAAATCGTTCCTTAAACATAAATCATTTTTTTATTTTATTTATAAGTATGATCCATTATTTACATAGCATAAACACAATATAATCATATGCTTGTTCTTATTTTCATATATTGAAAATAATGAAATAAAATATTTATTCATTTAAAAATATACATATATACATATATACATAGATTCAAAAACAAGTAAAGTATGTGAAATTTTACTTACCTTCTTTCGATTACATCACTTCATTTTTATCCCAAAAATAATTAGCAACTTATTTAAGATAATTTCAACATAACAGAAATTAATCAACCTATTTTGAGACCAATTATACAAAAAACAATTAAGTTAAACAAGGGTTAACTCGATTAATTAATACTAATAACTTGAGATTATTTTCTTAAAACAATCATATCTCAAGATATGTAATTCAGAATTAAGATCTTTTTAATGTGTTAGCAATTAAACTCATAAGCTTTTTAACTATATATGGTCGATCTCATGATTTTTTATAGATTAATTATAATAATTTTTATAATTCATGTGATATGCTGCTACTAGACAGCACATATACTTTTTAATAAAAATTATATATTTATTCATAAGAAACTATAAATTCAATTATGCTTATTTAATTATAAAGTAGATTCAATAACCTTTTCAAATATGTATGGCTCAATTCTTAATTTGTTGTATAAAATTTAAGATAATTTTCGTAATTCAAACTTAATGATGCTACCATACAACCTATATATTCTTATGTAAAAATTAGACAACTCTTCATAGAAAACTCAATTTCGACTTTCATTTGTTTCATTAAAAAGTAGATTCAACATGCTTTCCAACGATATATGATAATTATAGCAATATCTAATCTCTTGATATAGAATATTATTTTAATCCACCACTGCAAATATAAGAGTTTATACGAAATAAAAAATTTCTTTTCTAACCCCATTATATTTATGTTTCATTTTTTTATAGCAAAAAAATTACATTACTAAACTTTCTTAACACTTTATTAGACTCTGATTAAAGTCTAAATAATTTACCCAAACCAATATTGAAGAACGATAATATATTCCTTAAAATTTTAGGGTTTTTCGATTATAAGTTAAACCTAAAGACTTAACAATCAACATTATTTCTCTAAAATTAAAAAAAAAATTTATTTACTCATCTTTGAAAGATAACCCTCATTGTAGATTTTGTTCTTATCATTTCCTTAAAATCTTTCGATTTGTCTATTTTGTAAAGAGAGCAAAATAAGCCTTTTTTTTCTCGATTAATTATCGACCAAACAAGTGGTAGATGTTAACCTTATTAAAAATTATATTATTTATCAATAAGTCCTATGCATTTTTCATTCTTTATTAAAGAGTTCTCCCACTTATAAAAAATATTTAAAATAATCTTTTTTTCAGGTATTTCAATTATATTTATGTAAATTATTTATTAATATATTAATATATTATTTATTAATATAATATTATTTATAAGTAAAATTATGCTTAAAAGTATTAATAAATAGTTATACTCATATATAACTCTTTTTGAAAAATATCTTCTATTTTTCAAATCTGTAAGATAATTTTTAAAAAAATGATCTCATTTTTTATTGATCACTAAATCATTTTTCATTAATCAATTAATTTTATG